GGAAACATTAAAGTCTGACCATGATGTAATAGTCCCCGTTTGAAGATCTCCAAAGCGTCGTCAAAGGTGTCGACCAAGTCTCTTTTGAAAGAAAAGGGAGTGCCTGTTCTTTTTCTTCTCTTTTCTTTGGTCATTCTGTCTATCAGTTGAGTCAGGACATGGCCTGGTCCTTCTGGAGAGCCCTCAAGCATTCGAGGGGAAATGGGGAATGGGTGATGGGGATAGGCTAAGGCTAAGGCTCTGAAGGGACTCTCCGTGCTTGCCTCCCTTCCCTCCCTTCCCCTCTCTTCCCCACACTTCCCCTCTATTCCCCATCTCTTCCCCTCTCTTCCCCTCTCTTCCCCTCTCTTCCCCTCTCTTCCCCTCTCTTCCCCTCTCTTCCCCTCTCTTCCCCTCTCTTCCCCTCTCTTCCCCTCTCTTCCCCTCTCTTCCCCTCTCTTCTCCCACGCAAGAATCGGACACGACTGGACATCCATAGCCAGGGTTGAAAAGAGAGAAAGAAAACGATGAATTTCCTACTTTGATATCAAATCTTTATCTTTATCAAATCCTTATCAAATCAAAATCTTTATTTGTAATACAGTAAACCAGTCTCTAGAAGCCTAATCCTAGTAAGCTTTAAACCTAGTAATCTGGTTCGCATAAGCTGTAATATTGAGCTGTATACCGAACAGAGTTAACTGTCCAGTCATTCATAATTTAGGGTTTATGCAAAAGTTTCCAAAGTTAAGCCTAACCCCAATTCTTCTCTCCTAAAAACGTGTCCTCAGAAAAAAAGAGATGAATCTGTGAGTAGGTACTGTACAAACAAGATCACTTTTCCCTTTTCTTGAGAAAAAGCCCCGGGCCTCAATCCACTCGATTGTGTGAGAAATTGAGTGAATGTATTGAGAAAGGAAAAGAATGAAATGCTTGAATGACCCTCAAAATGTTTTTCATTCAATGAGGAAGTTTTTCAAGAAGAGGTCAAGTAAGGGAAAGTTGGTGAGAGATCGATTAAGTCTTCACAAGATCGAGATTTTCTTTTTCTAACACAAAGCTTGTTCTCATTGGTAGCTTAGAGAATTTTCTATACTCAGGTACTCATTCGAACTTGTTGCTACATGATTTTGTATATTATGATGCACAAGACCTTTACAAGAGCTGGAGAATTCTATTGTTCAAGAACTGGAGAATTCTACTGTTCAAGAACTAGAGAATTCTACTGTTCAAGTAGTTCAACCTCAACAATCTTATTTCACAAGATCTATTCCAAAAGAACTTATTTCAATGATCCCGAACTTGACCCTGAATTTGTGGATCAGCAAAGGGTAGATGACAGCTTTTCACCCTGAATCTTTTCTCTAGAATACCCTGAACCCAAGATATCACCAAGTGAAGAAAAGATTGAAGAAAGGGTGACAGCCGGGTCGACACGCGGCGCACGATAGGGAGAAGAAGAGGAGACGGGATGCTGGGTCCCTCACAAGCTCTCTTATCCCATAGAGAGACACTTGTGTGAACACCTTTCCACCAACAGTTTTCAAATCATCGTTAAGCCTTTCTCTCCTCGTTTTACACCTTCATCTGTACCAGTCTTTGAAAGTTTGAAAAATTGAAAGTCTTGAAAGTGTACCAGTCTTGGCTACCCAATTGGCAAGCCTACCCATCTTAATTTGGTAAGCCTATCCATCTTGATTTCAATCTCTTCTACTCTAGCTTATTACTTGTTTCTTTAGCTTTTTTTCTAACTCTTTTCTTTCTTTCTTCCTTTCTTCTTCCACTTTGTCTTTCCTTCTTTCTCTTGGAGAGTTAAGGAATCGAATAGCTCAGTGGTTAGAGCAATTGCCTGGAAAGCAAAAGTCGAGATCGAGAGTCCAATCCCGTCCTGGAACTCTACTTTTGCTCGCCAATTCCTTCACTTTTATTATCTTCAATATCAATATATAAGCTTAGAAATCGAAATCTTTAATCAGAACCGATCTAAGTGTAGATTTGTCTTTAAACTTCAACTTTATGTTCAATTCTAGGATTCCCAAGATAAGCTTAGAAATCCAAACCTCTAATCAGAACCAATCCTGTCTAGTGACCCACTTATACTTTTGGCAAGAACGTGTATCAAATTGGAATCGGTTTGGCACAGCTACTATCTGTCCAAACTGCAACTGCTCCAGAAATCTATATTTCTATTTTACTTCCAAGTCTCGCAATCAGCTCCTAGACTAGAACCCAGACTTCCCGAAAGTGATAATTTAGCCCTCATTCCCCTCATTGCCTTCATTCCCCTCATTCACCTCATTCACCTCAATGAGAATCTCAACGGAACTCTCCAGGAAGGACTCCACAAAGGGTCGAGTGGTGCCAACTTCTTCTCTTCTCCTTCTCTTCTCCTTCATCTTCCCCATCTTCTCGTTTATCCACTTGTGCAAGTCTGTCCCAATTGCCATTGTGTGCGAAAAGCCTTGATCCATCCCTGTATAATCACGCCTTCACCCACTAAGCGGCCCTGTTTCCTCTCCAGCCTCATTCCCGCAATGTCTCAAGAGGGTTCTCCCCCTTTTCCCCTCTCATTGTCTTGTTCTTTTTCTTGTTCGACCTCTTCTTTTTCTTCATTCGATTGGATGGCACGTCATCCCATCGAACGACTCAAGAAATCCCTTCGTTTAAATGTCTAGAACGTTTCTCTTTCTAAATGAAATTGGTGTGAGAATCGTCTTTACTAAGTCTTATTCTTTGATACCTTGATGATAGATTTCTTTTTGTTAATGTTTGAATGTTAATGTTTGAATTAGGCTTGAAACAGGCTTTAACTCTGGCTCTAACTCAATACGAATCAAGCATCGTTTGTTATCAAGTTCTAGAAGCTTTAAAGCTATCAAGTTCTAGAAGCTTTAAAGCTATCAAGTTCTAGAAGCTTTAAAGCTATCAAGTTCTAGAAGCTTTAAAGCCTTATAGCTCTAGCTCTAGGTATAGCTTTATAGCTCTAGCTATAGCTTTATAGCTCTAGCTATAGCTTTATAGCTTAGAGCCTTTGCGCTTTAGTTTAAAGCCAATCCAGCCAATTTTCTCTTAAATCCTGAAATCAAACTATTCCAACTATCCAGTCAATTCAAGCCAGACTAGACAAAGTCAGAAAGGTGTTTTACCTGGTTTTCGTTTATAACTTTTCAGAGTCTATTAAGAATTCGTATTGATGTCATCATTTTTTATGCAAATCTTTCCCAAACTTCTTACTTCTCTTCCCAATTTCTTTCTTGCCCAAAGCTCATTCCAGAACCAGTAGCTCTTTCTCTTCCTCTCTTTCTCTTTCTCTTTATCTTTCTCTATCAATGTCTTGTTGATAAAATGATTCACAAGAAAGAGATGTTTGCTTGTGTGGGAATGGGTTAAACTGAAGTCTCAACTTCTCTTCTTTCACCACAATTAGAATTTCTTAATGTTTTGTGTTCGATTCTACATTGTCTCTTTTGATTGTCTCTATATTTACCGACTTTAAACAGAAAATGCTCAAATTTCTTTCAATCATTTACTTTCCTTGTCTACAAAATACTGAAATGTTCTTGATTCTTGTTCAAGCTATAATTTAGCTATTCAAGCTAAATTTTAAGTTTTCTCGAGTTTGGAGGATTGTAAAGTGTACTCTTATAACGTTGCTTGGCCACTGCTGACCGTTGAGGCCCAGGAAACAAATTGAATTGTTGAACTTTTCAAATTGATACTCTTCTTTTTATCCACTTACTTTATCCTATCAAAAATTTAGTTCATAGGCTTTTGGAGAAAAGGAAATTATGGCAATTGTGACAAACTTATAGTTAATGCTAGAGCTTGATTGCTTTTTAGCTTTACTGTGCTAGAGCCAGATTGCTTTTTAGCTTTACTGAGCTTTTAGTTAGATTGATGAGTAATAATGAATGTGATTAAATATTTCAAAACGTTAATCAATCATATAAATGATCATAAAATCAATCGCTTTGTCATTCTTCCCCAAAACAATCAATCTCAGACATGTTCAATGAGAAATGGTATGTCTCAAAGATAGAAAAAAAAACTAGGGGATCTCAGAGTCTCTTTGGAATCAGAGAAGACCCAAGAATGAAAAAAAGAGAAGAATCACGGAGGTTCCGGTTTTTTTTCCATCGTGTCGGGTCTCTTTTCGTGGCTCGTACGTCTGTACGTGGAATGGAATGGAGAAGATCGGGAAAGGGGATCACAATGGCTGATGAAGAAGAGAAATTCAAGAGTCACTAGAAATCACTGACTGACTGCGATCTTTCTCTTTTCTCCTTTTTTGTGTTCGGGCACCTTGCCCGGTCTCTCCCGTTTTCTTAAAAGATGACCGCTCTCTCTCTCAACAATGCCATCGATCCATTGGCATCAATTTCTTTGGTCTTATTGATTTGAAAGCTTTGTCCTGGTTTTTGTAAAGTAGCTTGAGAGGTAAAGTAGCTTGAGGTTGAGCTTGAGGTCTTCTTAACCAGTCTTCTTCTTAACCAGTGAACGACAAAGCTGTCTTTAGATGAACTTTACCTTCTCAAAGTACTTGTACTCAAAGTACAAAGTACTTGGACAAAGTACAAAGTGCTCAAAGTCCTATATTTTCAATTTAAACCTAATCTATTCATTTATTTATATCTATTTTATCATATCTTTGTCCAACCGTTACCATCCAACTTTTATAGAATCTTAGTTCTTTATATGAGCTATTTGGCCATTTGGGAGTTTGTAAATGAGCTATTTCTAGTCTTTTCTTTTCAAATTAACCATTTTTTTTGTTTCCTTACGACAAAGGAAACTTCATTTTTCCTATTTCAATAGAAAATGTTTCAATTTTAACACAAAACACATTTCAGAAAGGCCATGAAAACAAAAAAAGCGCCAGAATGATCTTTTAATCTATTTCGATCATTTCGATTCTTGCATTAGATTCTTGCATTAGATTTTTGTCTTCAACTTTAGTTTCTAATCATCGACAATTCTTTTAAACATATTATCTTTCATTTTCCAGGAGCCCCGATTCAAAAATGGATCGACAAGTATCGGCCTTTGCCCTGGCCATCTTGTTGTCCATTGTTTCCTCACAAATTCCCCCGCCAAACACCGAAACCGATGCAACTTTTCTCTCAGCGATGAAGAATCTCATTTGGGGACCGAATCCGGATGTGAGTTCAAGAAAATCTCTTGTTAAATTGCTTCTAAAGCTCTCTGCAGCTCTATAGCTCAATATTCGAATTTCAGAATGCCACTCAAATGGATCCCTCGAAATTTCATCAATACAGCTCAGGTTTGTCGATGAATTTCATTGATTTATTTAAATTTTTCTCGTTAATTCTCGTTAAACTTTATTGATTCTAAAAAAGAACCAAAAAACCATAAACAAAAAGAAAATAGATGTTAAAAAGTTATAAAAAAATAAAAAAAAAAAAAAAAAAAAAAAAAAAAAAAAAAAAAAAAAAACACCATATCCCCCCCCCTCATCTCATAAAAAACCCCCCTCATTGGGGCCCACCCCCCCCGCCCGGGAAAAAATATAAAGTAAAACGCCCCCCCTCATTCTGTAAAAAAAAAAATCTTAAAAAAAAAAAAAAAACAAAAAAAAAAAAAAAACAAAAAAAAAAAAAAAAAAAAAAAAAAAAAAAAAAAAAACCCAAAAAAAAAAAAAAAAAAAAAAAAAAAACAAAAAGGGGGGGGGGGGAGGGGATTAAGCCCCTTCCATCTTGGAGAAGGAGAAGGAAGCCCAACCCCCCACAACCGCCCTCTTCCTCGGGGGGGGGGGGGGAAGAAAAAAAAAAAAAAAAAAAAAAAAAAAAAAAAAAAAAAAAAAAAAAAAAGGTTTTGGAAAAACCGTTTTTGAACTTTTGTTGAATAATTGACCACCCTGTATACCTACTTTTAAATTTTCTCCATTCAATTGAAAAACTGTTTTCCCCTTTTCCCCTTTCCCCTTTCCCCTTTCCACGTGAGTCTCTTCCCGATCTTTTGTATGGATTGTGTGTAAATGAGCTCTTCCGGCAGAGAAAAGCTTCGACAAATTCCAAAAAGAACAGTCCCGTCGGCTATTCCGAGTCTCAATTTCTCATTTTTCCCTCGATTTCTCTTGTTTTCCCATTTCTTTGATCTTCCCGTCGCGCAAAGCTCTCCCCAATCCCCTTTTTCGAAGAGATTCTTTAGCATGAGACTCCTCAAATAGAATTACCCAAAGGGAAATGGAAAAATATTGCGATTTTTTGTAAAATAGAAACATTTAAATAGATTTCGATTTGATTATTAAGTCTTTTGGCATTAATTATCAATTTTATTGGTTATCTGATATTTTCTTTAGCAAACAAATGATTCTTTGTACTCAAAAATTTCTTAAAAATAATTCAACGTTAATGTTTATAAAAAGTTAAAAAAAGCACAAAAGGAAATGTAGCGGCTCAGCGATATGCTCATTGGGATCAGCACTGTCATTCAGCCGAAAGATGGTTTGATTTCACCGCCGCCTTCATTGGAGAAAGGCGGTTTCTTTTTATGACCCCTAGAGAGAGCATGTGCCAGAAAGGGCGCGATTATGCTCGCGCACAGAGAACACTTGCTCAAAGTGGAGGTCGGAGCTTTATCGTTCACAAAAACCTTGCAGAACTTTACATTTACAGAACATTTTAATTTTAAATATTTCTTGATTAGTCCTTCTTGCGATAGGCTACAATAAAATTCCTGATAAAGTCTAGAAAGTTTCAATATAAATAAAATTGTACATTCTAGTACAAGAAATTCCTTTTTTCCCGGATTTTCCAAGTTTATAACCGGTTTATAACCGATATTTTCATTAGATTCTATTTATTTTCTACCCAAGACTTTTCCTAGAGTTGAACTATAAACAAAAACCTGTAGGTACATTCAATTTCTAAGTTTAATGGTTCTGTTTTGGTATAGGTAATACTAGAACTTGTCTGTGACTCTTCTACTCTTCAATCCTTTCACCAACTTTACAATCCCATAATATTTTGTTAATCGTTTAATTTGCAGCTCGTTCCCCCGTCGACCCTCCTCACCTCAGCATCAGTGAGTGTCTCGGGTGCTGCCTGTACTCTGCCTCAACAAATAGGAACCGGACCCTACCGGATACCCAGATGGTTGGTTGATTGAGGGGAAAGCTTGGGTGGAGATTGGAGAAAGATTGAAGAGAGATTGAAGAAAGATCTGGATTCTCTTCAACAAGAAAGAGATCAACAAATTCTTTTGATCCGGTTATCCCAATGGGATCCAAGTCAAGCAGTTGGGTACTTGAGAATGAGTCAAACTATTGAGTAAGTCAAACTATTGAGTATGTCAAACTATTGAGTAAGTCAAACTATTGAGTAAGGCAAACTATTGAGTAATTACAGAACGAATGAGAAGGGTTTTGGGGAGATTGGAAAATGTTTTAAAGCTTTTAACCATAAATCTTTTAACCAACTTAAAGCTTTAAAGCTTTAAAGCTTTTAAAACTTTCAAATTTCAAATTTCAATAAGGCAAATTTCAAGTACAACAGCTTAAACCTTTTCATTCAGGTACTACAACCCCGCCCGACAACGTTGTGAGCTCTTCTATTGGTCTGGATGTTGTGGAAATCAAAACAATTTCCAAACTTTCCAGAGTTGTCAACAAGTTTGCGAGGGTGAGCTGATGAAAATATCATAAATTATTACATAAATGATCAAAAGCTTTAGATGCTTTAGACCAAATAGTAAGGAAAACAGTATTTTTAAGCCTAAATGGTTAGCCTAAAGGGTTAGCCTAAAGGGTTAGCCTAAGAGCCTAAAGAGAGCCTAAAGAGTTAGCCTAAAGGGTTAGCCTATAGATCTGCCTATAGATCTGCCTAAAGATCTGTCTAAAGATCTGCCTAAAGATCTGTCTAATGATCTGCCTATAGATCTACCTATAGATCTGCCTATAGTCCCCTTCTTTCTGAAATCAGCAATCCCCTTCTTTCTGAAATCCTTTAGCCTTTCAGTGTGCCCCTTTCGAAAGCTTTAACCGATTTCAGTCATTTTCCAAATTCTAGTCACAAAACAAGGATTAAATGATGTGAAATGGATGCCCTCGTACTCGCAAATCATCGAGTTGACAATTACTGTGCCAACAAGTTGTATTTGTGCCCAACAAATGATGATCCCCGGCTACCTACCGCCACAAAGAACCTATCAATTCCCGGGTCCAGCCCCGATGCCCACACTACCCTATGGAAGCGGTTTCTCACAAAACACGGGACAAGTCGGTTGTGCCTGTTGTCTGCAACCGTTCAGTGAAGGAATCGGCTTGCAAACGTTCACCAAATACTACTTTGAACTGGGTGAGGGACGATGTAAACCATTCGTGTACAGAGGACAGGGTGGACAAGGGAATATCTTCGATTCGGAGTTGCAATGTGTGAAGGCTTGCAACGCCTTTGTGCCCCCTGGTGGTCCGCCAATGATACAGCCAATGGTACAGCCAATGGTACAGCCACAGATCTCTCCGATTCAAGTTCCCATTGAATTCTCTGCTTTGACGCCATTGTCATCATCAACACAAATGCCAGCATCTCCAAGAACTGTCCGCCCTCGACCCACTCTTCCACCAATGGAACTCCAGCCGGTGAAAAAAGGTTCTCCCCACGGCTTCAATGAGTGAAATCTCCCTGAAATCCCCCAGCTTCCTGAGTTCCTGTGTGAAACATTTGCAGTTCTACAGTTTTTTTTTTGAAACATTTGCAGTTCCCTGTAAAGTTTTGTGGTGTACTAGAGATTTGATAGTATTCGAATGCTTTGATTAAAAAGTTTAGGCTTTTCCCATTTCCAAGAAAGGCTTGCTTGTCGATAAGTTACCAGAAAACTGTAGAAAAAATTTAGAAAATAAAGAAAACTGTAAAAAATTCATCGACAATCAAGTCTTTTCTAAAAAAATATAAAAATTTTGGCTAAAAATTCCTCAACTTTCAAGTTTTCTGTTAATTTGTTGAGTGTTTTGTAGTGGATCCATGCGAACAAGACAACGAGAGCGGAGTCGGAGCACTGCAACTCTCCAGATGGTTCTTCAATAAGAAAAGCAAACTGTGCGAGCAATTCATTTATTTTGGATCGGGCGGAAATCGAAATAATTTCGAGACATTGCAAGAGTGTCAAGCACAATGTCCTGGTAGAGTGATTGATTGGATTGTGGAATGGCTCGATTTGCATGCAGAGTGTCGTGCGGTGTTTAGTAGTAATTGGGCTGTGCACAGCTGTGTTCTTGAGATGTTTTCTAAAAGTGCATTTGAAGGGGAAATTACCGTAACACCAGGTGACTAGATGACGGTAACTTTTGCCGAAATGCCTTTTAGAAACGCTTCAGACAGTGTGCTCACCTCTGCTATCGTTCTAACAAAGCTTTGCTAACAAAATTTGCTGGCCAAGTCAATAATCTGAAATTGTTATCATTGTTTCATCGAAATCTCGAATCTCAAAAGCTTTCCGGCTTGCTTCACCTTCAAATAGCTTTACTGAATCAACACAATCCCCCCAAAAGCTAAGAAAATCGGTGTCGGTACTTTGTATTAGCACTTTTCTCTCTCAAAAATTGCAAGACTCTATTCGGGCACTCGGTGAGGGTCAAGAAATGAGATATCAAGGATTGACTTAAGAATGTTTTGAACTAAAACAAAACAAGTCAATTCTTGATATCTTGAGACAAGTACAACAAAATTCGAGTCATTTCAGAATCCCCAAATCCGTGCGCTGTTCAAACAACGGGCCCTTTGGTGACATGTCTTGGTGGGAATAGCTGTGGAGGTGGATATTATTGTCATTCGGGAGCCGCTCAGACAACGCAAGTCTGCTGTCCGAAGCCCTGTGAGTTTATTATACAGTACAATTCAACAAGTTAGTACAATTCACCTTCTTCAGCGACTCTCGATCGTTGCCAACAACCGCTGAACATTGGAATCGGAAATGAGAACTTGCAGAGGTTTGCAATTCGTTATGCTGTGCAATCTTCAATTCCAGGTGGTACTTCAATCCATTGGCGCAGCAATGTCAGACCTGTGTCTACAAGGGATTGCAAGGAAATGAAAACAATTTTGGATCAAGAAACGATTGTGAGAACGCGTGTGTTGGTAGGTACTCTACGAGTTAGTAATAAAGAAGTGAAGGAATTGCCAAGGCAGATTTCCGGAGAGGTATTGAACCCTCTTGCTTTCCATTATTGCTGCTCTTTTTGCTCTAAACGCTGAGCTATCCGGTATAGAGTGTGTTCCTCTCAAGTATTGGCTTTCTATAACGTGCCCTTGAAAGATAAAACCTCAAGATATTCAGTTAACAACAACGAATATCTTGAGATTTCGCCTTTGAAGGGCGCGTTATACAAAAAGCCGTTACTAGAAAGCCTGTAGAAAGCCATTACTTGAGAGGAACACAATCTAACCTTGTACCTTAACTTGCCAAGAGAAAGAAGGAAAGGAAGGAAAAGCAAGGGGGAAGAATAAAGGAAGAAGGAAATCATTTCCAGTGAACCCCTGCCGCGTGGGTACTCCATTCCGTAGCCAGGGAGTGACCGTGCAATGTTCGGCGATGAATCCAACCGTTTGTCCGGCCGGCTACTACTGTCATATCGGTGCCGATCAATCAACATCTCTTTGTTGTCAAGCTCTCGGTTTGTTCAGTCGCCAACTCCAATAGAGACTCCTCTGAAATTTGGAATTCGTGTGAAGCTTATCGTTTGCTGTGTGCTAGCAAAACCAGACGTAGAATAGCTACAGATTACAGTAATCCCTCCAAAGCATGAGCACTAACTCGGTTTCGTTTGTGTCTGTGCGGTGGTCAACCACCGTTTAGGCGTCGATGGAAAGAAAACGGCATGTAACTAATCACGGTCGGTGAAAAATACGGTACAGGTTAGTTCTTTTGGGATACGGTATGGGATCCTGGGATAATTTTGTTGATTGAATATCTTTTAGTTTTCATTTGAATCTTAAACTGAAGCTGAAAAAGCTACCAAACTAAGGTACACAGCTGAAGCTGACTAAGCTACCAAGCTGTCAAGCTATCAAGGTGAATAAAAATATTCAGAAAACATAAATTTCCAAGTTTTAGTAGAGTCAAATAGCAAAAATAGGCACTGGTGGTGGATATTTCTTTAGCTTTTCATCGTAAAATTTCCTAGTTCGTTTCTGGTTCTTTTTCTGGGCACAAGGTGATGGAACAAGAAGAATAAAATGTTATAAAATCTGAAGAGTCCAATCAAATACACCTATGGGCTTAAAGTAAACATTTTTAAGGAACAAACCCTTGCACCGAGCCGATGGTAAAAGGTGAAGGATCGGCCTCATTGACGCGTTTCTTTTACGATTCATCACAAAGACGATGCCTAACTTTTAACTACCTTGGAACAAAAGGAAATATGAACAACTTCCAAACTCGAGAACTTTGTGAAGTGAGTTCATTAGCGTATCAAGCAAAAAATAAACCCTAAACTTGTCCTTAAACACTAACCTTGTCCTTTCAACTTTAAATTCAAGAAAACATTTTAGGGAGCGTGCCCCGTTTGGACAAATCCGTGCTCGGTGGGTATTCCGATCATGGGCGCCGATCAGCGACCAATGAGGTTCGCTTATTTTGCCTTCACAAAACTTATTCTGAATGTCTATGATTAATATTTGAATCACAATCCTTATCTAATTGACGACTTTTGACCATTCAGATGTTCCCATGTCTCTCCTTGTCCGCCCACTCATTTTTGTCATCTCGGCTTCGACGAGGCGACCACAGTTTGCTGTGCGGCACAGGTGAGTCAAACTGAAAATTAAATCTAAAATCAGTTTCAAGCTTAAAATCCTTTAACTTGTTTAACAAAACAAAACAAAACAACTTGTTTAACTTGCTTTTATAGGGAGATCCGTGCCAAGTATCTCTTTCTGAAGGAGTAGGAAATCACGTGATTCAACGCTGGTTCTACAATCAGAAAACCCGTCAATGTCAACCGTTTACATATCGAGGATTAGAGGGAAATGAGAATAATTTCTTGTTGCGAGAACACTGTGAAGCAACTTGTCCAGTTTGGATTAATCCGTGTCCACAAGGAGAACCACTGCTCAACAGGTCTGGATCAAGAAGTTAAAAGAAAAATTCTTTACAAGTTGTTATTTGCTGTTGAGAAAATCCTTTACAAGATTCAAAATTACTCACAATTAACCGATTCCAGTGATAATCGGCCAGCGATTTGTGAGATCGGGGCAGAGAATGGTTGTCCAACAACTCATTGGTGTCATCCCGGATCCGATCCATCGACTAGTTTCTGCTGTCCGGGAAATTCGGATCCATGTGTTCTCGCAAAATCCGAAGGAGAAGGACCTCTAGTTATTACCAGGTAAAAACCACCTTCTCTATGATTTTTCTTTAACTTTAACTTTAGATACTACTTTGATGCCACTCGAAGACAATGCATTGAGTTCACTTACAAAGGATTACGAGGGAATGCTGTAAATTTTATGCTGCAAATTTTTCAAATTCTCCAACTTTTAGAACAACTTCCTTTCGGAGGGTGCTTGCGCAGAAAGATGTCCCGTTCAAATCGATCCATGTCCAATCACATTCTCGAGTCTTGCTCATGTCGTCACGTTGGTGAGTGCAAATGAAAAAATTTACCTATGCATTACCATTGTTTAGCCAATTCAATCATCTAATTTTACTTTACCATTTTCAGACAAAATGCTCGGGTTCTTATGCTTGTCCTGATCAACAATGGTGTCACATTGGAGCCACGGAAGAAACGACTGTTTGTTGTCCAAATGGTTTGTCTTTTGTTCAACCGGTTCAACCTTACAAACTTTAAGGCAAGTAGTAAAGGAAATCAATACTCAAAACTGATCAAGAGTCAAGTCTCCAAAAATTTATTATTTTAAAAACAAAAACAATTTTACAAAACTAAATGCGCAAAAAGTATACCCGAGAAACCGAAAAAAAAAGAAAAAAAAAGCGACAAGACAAAATTTGCATAGAAAAATATCACTGGGTGATGGGATTGCACAGAAAATCACAGTTTTCCCTACAGAAAATTGACCCGCTGAATCATTATTAGAAAAGGGAAACAAGACAACAAAAATGGGGAGATTGGGTTAGTGTAAACATGACAAACATCTAGAAATTAGCATTCAAAAGCTAGAAGCGATAAAGTTCAACTATTGTTGTGCTAGATGCCTTGCGCTTACGTTTTTCTACAAAAAAAGTTAGCTAGGTTTATTCTTGTGGCTGTTTGGCTTTGGGCTTTTGAGATGGAATCGCCGGCACTCCACGAGGATCGATCAATTGTTTGAGATTGTATTGAGGCTCGGTTAGATCGGTGAGAAACGATAAACGGCTATCACGAATGCGGATCCATCTAGAAAAATCAGAATCAATAATTTTTAGTAAGCTATCACCTAGTCTCTATCAGTTCGCATCTCAGAAACACTCACAGTGTTGCAGCCGTTTTCTGTCCTTTGAGTATTGGGCAAGCTCCGTGAAGCGATTTGGCAATTGAATGATCGGTGACATCCATGTTCAACCACAACATCACATCGCCCACCTCTGGATGGACAACATAGGGCAATTGCGGGAAGATTGTGCCTAAAAGTGAAGTTGGCAAATCGAAACGATAGCTATAGGGTGAAACACTGCAAAACCCTACCTCCACCTTCATCGGCAGTCTCGAGAACAGCAAGAAAAGTTGCAAGTCGATTTCCCATTTCATTCATCCACCAATCCCATTGAGTCTCATTCGTATAATACAAGAAATCGTGATGAGGAGCATAGTGGCCACCCTGTTGATAGGAGAGAGCCTAAAAGAAAATCCAATAATACAATTTTGATAAAACCACTCACATGCCATTGCTCAGCTCCGTGCAAATTGAGCGAAGGCAGCCGACGCTGAGCAAAGTCGAACAACGTTGACGTGATCTCATTCTAAAAAGAAACATTAAAACATTCCAAAGCATCCAAAGATATTTACCTCATAATGTTCCATCCAAGTACCGTTGGCTCTTCGACTCGTGTGACCGGCGGCTCCACTCGGGTCATCCTGATCTACCACTTTCTAAAGAAACATCGCATACATATTAACTTTGCAATAGATTCAAGATCTTACCTGTAAATCCATTTCTTTCTGATTAATGTACTCTCGAAAAGCGTGCGCGTTTTTTTCTGAGTAGAACTTGTGGAAAACGAGCAGAATTGGATCCGTTGCAAGCACCTAAAGAAAATGCTTATAAAGATACAAAAATATTAACTTTGCTGCCCACAAAAAACCACTCACCTCAACATTCACCCACATGTAGTCCATTACGTAACGCGTGCAAAACATATCTAGAAAAAAAATCATGATTTTCTAAGCAAAAAAAACAAACCAGGATCATCGTGTAGCGGGAATTCCCTTAAATCACATGTATCCATATAGCTGTATGACCAGTGATTCTTTCCGACAAAATCCAGATCTTCTAAAAAAGGAGATTAGATAGTTCTGTAGGTAAATAAATTGTAAGGTAAATAAATTGTAAGAAATTCCAAATTGTAAACAAATTTGTAAGCTCCTACATTGCTACAAATATTGATTAACTTTTATTTTTGATAAGACCTGCCATGCAGGAGATAAGTTTAAAGTTCTTAAATCAATGTACAGCCCATAACTGTCGGAAAGAAAAAAAAATCTTTTACTAAAGTAAAATAAACATAACGAACGTGTTATCTCGTGTTTCCTTTCGTGATTGTGAATGAATGGAGAAGCGGTTGGATCGAGTACATTTGATGGAATGGGCGATGGTTGACCGTGTCCAAGCACTTTCACGCGAAACATCATGTAGAAGATATAGAGCCATACCATCTAAAAAAAAAGAAATTAGTTAACTGAAAAATAAAAAAATTTTGAATTGACCTCTTTTTCAAAGGATTACAGGTCAAAAACTTTTGGAAATTTCCAATTCAAAGCAAAGCTTTACATTCATCAACGGGGTGGTCGTAAAAAATGGATTTATATATGCAATGCATATCGATTGCATGGAGAAACGTTTAAAAAAACTTTCAAATCTTTTCGTTTACCAGAATTGAATTTAAATTATATATTCTAATATGCAAAAAAGGTGGTTTCAGAATAAAAAGAATAGAAGCTGGGCGTTAGTAATATTAGGTTGATGCAAAAGTCTTTTTCATTTTTTCGTACTTCTGTTAAAAAGTAACAAATTCACCAATTAATCTATAGTTTGCTCTATAAAAAAAGTGTTTTTTTGTTCAATTTCCATCTTTTTAAATCGAATTTCGGTTCACTTTCAAGCAAATTCGAGAGTGAAAAACGCCTTTTTCGTAAAAATCTTTAAAAAACTCTACGGAAAAATTGGCTGAATGAATTTCTCTGAAATTTTGGCGAAATATCAAACGTTTTTTTTCTCTATCTTTTATCTATTGACACGAAGATAGGTTTTCTTTAGCTAAGGTGTCTAAACCGCATCATCGAGTTAGCCCTTTTTGACTACCCGACTTCATACTCTCAAGAAAATCCAGGCATTCAATATTTTTAAACCCGTTTTAATGTTATTTTGCAGAAAAATAATTGGTTTTTCTAATGAAATCAACCGTAGTTTAATTGGTGCATTTGTTGGCTTGAAACGGCAGACGAAAAGGAACAAAAAGACTTATGCATCAACCTATTATAATCTATAATCTATTAATCAATGAAGAACTTACATTTTATATGACTGAGAAAATCAAAAGTGTAAGGAGAATGGATTTTTGGGGCATTTTTAATGAAGAAATGAGGAAAATGAGGAAAATGACGCGCCCCGTATATACAAATTTTTGAAAGTAGCTGTGTTTTAGTTTTTGGCTTTTAACTGAATTTTATATCGTTATCTGATAAAAGCTGTTAAATTAAGAAAATAAAATCACCCACTAAAATTGCCGCTGCAGCACGGTAAAGACAATACAATGTGGACCTTCGCTCACCCATTTTCGAGAGAAATAATAAGAAAAAGAAGGGGGAACTTGGTTTCAAGTTAATGCAAATTTGAAAGGTATGCAAATTTTAGACAAGTTTTTTAGTTGATCATTCAAAGAGATACTCCGTAAGTTGTACGTAGAAAACTCGCAGACAAATAAAACAAATGAAATGATTCGATTGTATTTTCTCGTTCAGATGAGACGAGAATAACTTGAAGGAATTCAGGAGAAACTCTCCCTTTTTCTCTTTTCCTTTTCTTTACTCTCTTTTTCTTTTTTCCTTTTCTTTACTCCCTTTTTCATTGGATAGCGTGAACAGTTCTCGGTCAACAAATCGTATTTCAAACAGAAAAAAACGAAAGATCCGAGAAGAATTCTGTCAACTCGTGCTTTTTTGTGAAGTTTCTCCTTTTGATTGACTCAGAGATGACTAGTGGGCAGAGAAAGCTTTTGGATAGTTTCAATTCAGAGGTTAAGAATTGGGTAAATAAATCGGGAGATGGTTGTTTAATTGGTTGAGTCGTTATGGAAAGCTTTCGATTGGAATTGAAATTGAAAGAAATCGAATTAAAAGAAATAAACAAAGGAGATCGGGAATAAAATATTGGCCCCAAATGAAGATATTTAACTGTACATTTCAACCTAAGGGTTTTCGAGGTCGGTGAATCGATTGGTGGGGTTTATTTTATTGGTTTTATCAATTGGAGCTCTCAATTCAAGCAGAAATTCTCTACAATCTTTCTTCAAGCTTTTCATACAACTTTATCATGCTTTATCATGCAAAAAGCTCATCCCTTTATAAAGCAATTTAAATAATTAAAGCCATAAAAGCCGTTCAAAAGAGAAGCCTTATACACTTATACAGCCTTATACAGCCTTATACACATTTTGCAGTGATTAAAAATAAAATTGATAGGCTAATAGATAAAACTAGTGTAGAGAAGGGTTCTTGAGCTTTGATGGTTCAGTTCTGATGGCCAGTTCTGATGGCCAGTTCTGATGGCCAGTTCAGTTCTGATGAGATGAGCTTCAATCTTTCACTCTTTTTACTCTTTTTATCAGAAAGTTTTATTCTTCAGTTGTTGAAATTTTGAAATTCCCTCATCAATTAAAATCTCTGAAATCGAATCCATTCGAATTCCTTGATTTCAACGTAAATTCTTGTCCTTTTGACCGAATCCATAGAGAAATCACTGAAATTTAAAGATTTTCTCAACAATCAACAACAATATTTTATTTTTTTATTTGATCCACTCAAACTTACCAATTTTCCTTCCCCTTTCCACCGGACAAGCTGCATGTTTTGAGAGATATTCCAATTGATGTCTTGATGTCATATTAAACCATAAAATGACATCACCGACATCTGGGAGAAGGCTTGTTTTAAGTTCGGTAAACACGAGGCCTAAATTTGATGTTATTTAATGGAAAAACAGTGGATTGAGGTTTTGTTCTGTTGAACTCTTTATCTTGCAATTCCAACGTTCTCCCAATCCTCTCCAACCACTCACCTCCTCCCTTTTCTGCTCTTTTCAAAACAACAATCACGGTCGCTATTCGATTTCCCCGTTTCTCCATCACTTTTTGTGTTTTCTCATCAGTCGGATAATCGTAATGAGGAGCGTAATGTCCACCACGATTATAGTTGATCACCTAAAGTAAATTTCGAGCAAGATCAGTCAAAACTATAACCTGCACTTGTACAGTACTCAGTTGTTGATTTACCTGCTGATTTACCTGCTGATTACCTGAAATTTACCTGAAATGGCTCCGATCTCCTCAAGTCAAACAATGGTAAAAGATTCTGTAAAGCTGAGAATAAAGCTGCAAATTTTAGTGTTTTGCCATGTGCAATCCAAGTCCCATTCGCTTCCCTCATAGATTGATTTGTTGATTGAACAGTTATCTAAAACTTATCTTTCCAAAAATCCAAAAAAAAAAATTTGCTTACCATTTGCTCCAACGTCATTCTCTCAATTTGCCTCAAAAGAATTGCCACGAAATTTTTTGAGAATACTTGGTGAAAGTGAAGAATCGGTGGGCTCTCGTTGATTCGTTCAATTTTCGAAAACTTCAGAGACTTTTTGTTTACAAAGCAAGTTGAAGCTAAATGCAAGGAACAGAATTTTGGGGAACAGAACTTCAAAAGCTAACCGGAAGAAATAGAGCTTGGATTTTGAAGCTGTTTGCACAATCCGAATTCTTCTTTTGACCAAAAGTTCGATCCAGAAAACGTGAACTCACTGTTCAAGAATGGGAACAGATTAATCTAATAGTTTTATTGTAAGTATTTACTTTGGAGAACTCACAAAAACGATGGATACAGAATACATAAACAGGAAAGAATCTAGAATGGAGCAATGACTGAAAATGGAAAGGAAACGAGAATTTGAAGAGGAGAAAAATATACTTTTGCTCTTTGAGTTGGTTCTCATAGGATTTTCTCCTTTCTCTTTCCAAAAGTGCCTTCATACAGTTAGAAAAAAACAGTTGGAGAGCCAGAAAGAAGAACGATTCAAAAGAAAGGAAGTTCCTGAGCCAATTTCAACTTCTCTATACAAAGGAAAGCTTCCATATTCTCATAGTTACGCAAAAGATCGGCAAAAAGCAAAATGTTCTCCTTCTATGTTAGACAAAAGTTAGATATAAAAACAATATTCAAAACAAAGTTCAAGAGATATACAAACAGATATGCAACACAAGAGATTCAAGAGATATACAACACAAAATATCTCTAACAATAAGTATTGCATCAGTCATTTAATGTATAACATTTCAGCTGTGACCGATCCATGCAAAGCTGCACCAAGAAATCCTGGAGTTGGTGACTATAAGGTGATTTTAAAATATCATTCAGTCATTTTAATTTCAATTTTCTCAGGCAACAAGATGGGCATTTGACTCATCAACGAGAAAATGCATTCCTTTCGAATATCGTGGAATGAAAGGAAATGCGAATAATTTCATTTCAAGAGAATCCTGTGAAGTGAAATGTCCTGGTGAGAAGTTAGCGTGTACTTTGTGTGCTTAGGCTTAGGCTATACTCTGAATCTGACATCATTTTTGGCATACTTGTTTTGTTAAAAATTCTAAATTACAGTTTTCTTGAACCCATGCAAAGTTGGTGATCCATTTCAATCGGATGGAAGATATCAAGTAAGTGTTTTGAGATCAAGCAGCTTATTCTAATAATTCTTATTCTTATTCTAATAGATTCTAAATATCTTTTATATCTTTTTATAGGTATAATACTTTCATTGCAATCAATCATTAGATTCAAATTTCCAGGTGTGCAACCCCGAGTCCCCTTGTCCGGCTCGTTTCTATTGTCACGTTGGAGAGGCGACGAATTATTGCTGTCCGATGCTAGGTTTAAATAAAAGTTTTCCATTGTGCAGTGCTGTGAAGTGAAAAGAACTAAACTAATTGTTTAGAGGAGTCTCTATTTTTGGATAATGTTATAACCTCAGAATCTTCTTTCAGGTGGAGATCCTTGTGGACAGCCGATGGATCGAGGAACGGGCGGGGCACAGTTGCAAAGGTAGAGCTACAGTACCCTAGTACCATAGCTACAGTATCCTAGCTACAGTACCCTAGCCGCAGTACCCTAGCCGCAGTACCCTAACTACAGTATCCTAGCTACAGTAAGCTAAACATCACCGCTTTTAGATGGTACTGGAACGTGAATCAGCAATGTTGTCTACCTTTCTCTTATTGTGGCCTCAAAGGAACCCAAAACAATTTCCTCTCGAGAACCGATTGCGAGCGAACGTGTTACGGTAAGAATCATTCGCTGTATATTTTTCTTTTTTTTCTTTCCCATCTTCAATAATCCTAGTCCCAAAAATCAAAAGTAATCAACAAAATGAGTGCCAAACTTTACCAAAAAAGCACCAAAATTTTCAAATTCCCCAGAACACAACAAGATTTCTTTCACTTTACCAAACTTTACAATTTACAATACACCAATACAAAGTTTTCCAAACGTCTAACTTGTCAAAATTCCCCAGCTGACTTTTACTCTATCAACATTTTTGTTCACGAAGTCATAAAAATTGAAAGAAGATAATCTTCGAATTTCCCAATATTCCTTCACTTTTCCCCTCTTCCGAGTGTGTGTTTCCCTCTTTCAGAACTCGATAATCCTTGTGCTGGCGGTGAACCCCTTTTGGGTCAAGACAATCGTCCATTACAATGTCCTGCACCTGATGCACCCGTTTGCGGGAATGTGAATTGGTGTCACATTGGCGGAAATCAACAGACAACTGTTTGCTGTCCGAATCGAGGTTTGTAAGAGTTTAAAGTATAGTGTAAAAGAAAATAAGTCAATTTTGAAATTTTTCAAGATATTAAGCACCATTTTGAATCTCTAGAAAGCGCCTAAGAATCTAGAAATTTCTAAACAAGCTTCGGTGTTGAAAGCTGTTCAACAACACGTTGAAACGTTGATCATGTTGAAAGCTCTTAAAAATAGATTACAAAAGAATACAAATAAATATCCCATATTTCAGTAAACGGTGAAGATATCTGTCAACTGCCACTCGTTGAAGGCGATGGTGATTTCCAATTGGATCGTTTCTATTTCGATTCGACTACTCGTCAATGTCTTCCTTTTGTTTACAAAGGCCGACTTGGAAACCAAAATAATTTCCTCACTCAGGAAGCGTGTGAAAATCTTTGTCCAGGCAAGATACTTACAAAGAAAGTTGCTAATGATTACAGTAATCCTACTATTTGTGTGACACTTGAGCTTTAATTGATGCAAGTTTGAGCAATTGAGCAAAAGCAATGTAATACCATAATCTGCCTTACTTACTATCTTAATGAAATCTTACTCTTAATGAAATCTTACTCTTAATCTTAATGAATCTTAATTGGCTTAGATTCATTGACTAACTTGACTCTTACTATACTCAAAAGACACCAAATCTCATCAGATTGACAATGCACTAAACTTCTCAGATATTACAAGAGATCTAATCTGAAAACTGTTCTCTTAATCATCTCTTAATCATCTCTTAATCATCTCTTAATCACTATTATACAAATTTCCTTGATAACTAACCCTTTCAGTGTTTGTAAATGTTTGCCCAATGGGTCAACCTCTTCTCGACTCATCGAATCGACCAATTCCCTGTACTTTTGGATCGGATTCTTGTGGAGATCATCATTGGTGTAATACATTTTAACATACATTTTATAGAATTCCTTTTCTTTAATCTAACATAATGCAAATTTAGGTCATTTGGGTCTTGTACCCGATGAATATCAGTGTTGCCCGGGAACTCCCACATATCCTGGAGCTTGCCAGGTCTCTTACACAGATCTTATAACGTTTTAACTTTTAGTTGTTTTCCTAAGGCTTAGCTCAAAGCCGAACTTCTTGATAAGGCTTCTACTGTTAGCAAAAAGCCTCCTTACAATCATTGAACTTACCATTGCACAGTTAAACTAATCTTTCACCTCCAGGATGGTCCATTTATTGTTGGGAATATCTCCGACCGTGCCCCACCAGCTCAACGATGGTATTACGATAAAACACAAATGAAATGCTTGACAGCAACTTACAATGGACGAGCCGGTTCACAAAATAATTTCCTCACTAAAGAAGATTGTGAAGCGACTTGTGAGGGTAAAGGTTTAACAGAAATACTCATCAACTTTAGCATAACGATTAACTTTTAACTGATACAGTAACAACTATTCTAACAGTAACAACTATAGCTAACTACCTTTTTGTCAAATCCGAAACATTTTTTGACTTGTTTAGTCTACGAAAGTCCGTGCAATCTTCCGATCTCTTTGCCGGCAACGAGCTGTCAAGCGGACAATATGTGTGGACCATCTCAATATTGTCATTTCGGTCTTGTTCAAGATACGACTGTTTGTTGCCCATCCGGTGAGTGATTTTTGACTCTAGCTCTAAAAAACTAACAATCTATCAGAAAAAAAAATCAATCTCAATTTTTCTAGAAGGCGATGCTTGCTCATTGCCGTTGAACCGAGGCCAAGGACAGGGATCAGCACAAAGATGGTACTACGATCAAAATTCGTACTCCTGCCTGCCATTCCAATATGCGGGAACAAAAGGAAATTCGAATAATTTCTTGACACAACAGGTTTGAAATCATGATGGGCATACTGATGGATAGAAGACTAGAATTTACTCGCGAGTAATATGTTTTTTAAAACGGAAACTTTTAAACTTGGGAAAAATTACCCCACTTTTAGCGAAAATTATTGCAAAAAGACAACTAGCACCTACTTATATATGACTTATTTTAAAGATATTCAGTCGTTTAATTGATTTGGTGGCAAATTCCCTTCAAATGTAAACATATTCAATTTACCCGACGTGTAAAGAGGATTGCTCGTAGTTACTCGACCAAAAACGTCGATTAATCGAGTAATAACTACTCATGCAAATTTTACTCGAGTAATTACTTACTCGCACTCCAATGGGCATACTGATGGATACAAAACTACGTATACAAATGGCAAATTCAGGCTTGTGAGGAGCGTTGCGGCCCGAATCCGTGCTTTGAGGGAAGACCTTTCCAGGTAGGACCTTTGTTACTGATTCATAGAATAGGAGAACTGATACTGACAATAAGCTTAAAGATTTGTAAAAGCTGTTCTATTTAGGGAGCCGATGGCCGTACTCAGACTTGCACCGCTTCAGCCTCAATCAACACTTGCCCCGCCTCGTATTGGTGCCATGTTGGAGCTGATATGAGTCTAACTGTTTGCTGTCCGGGAGGTAAAACTTATTTTAAGCCTATATTAAGCCTACATGTTTTTGTTCATATTCTTTTTTGTATATTGCAACCAAACGTATTCGGTCTGTAAGTATGAAATATCGCTATTTGTGATCGCTCTGTTTAAAAACTCCCTAATTCACCGATTGACTTAGAGTTTATTCTATCTCTATTAATTGCTCGACAAAATATTGACAAATTGCTTTTTGAAGTTTCTGAAAATCTTTTATTTTTGAGGTTTGCGAGAGGCGAGAAGCAAAGTAGCCAAAAATGGCAAATGCAAGATCCAAGATCAAGATTTGGACACTTTCGTTCACAGAAGCCTATTTTAGCGTCAATAGAAAAAAGATGAACATAAAAAGTTAGGTATATAGCCATGTTTCCAGAGAAATTCATTCAACCTATTTTCTTATATGCCAATTTTACGAATTTTCAGAAAAATGGGGATTTTTCCCTAAGATTGCTTCGAAACAGGCTCGAGTATGCCTAAAAAATGAAAATATTTAAACGATAAACATTTCTAATAAAGCAAAACGTAAGTCAATCGGTAAATTTAGGGAGTTTTTCAATAGAACCATGACAAATAGCGACATTTCACACTTTCAGACTTAATATTTTCAGCTTCGACCAATGTCTGCAATTTGCCGATGTCCACTGGTGAAGGAAATTACAATTTGGATCGGTAAGGGATATTTTTAGATCTAATCTATAACTTTTTCTGGATAATCGAACAGTTTTTCGACATATCAAATCGAAATTGCAGGTACTATTTCGATTCGACGTCGAGAACCTGCCGACCCTTCAAGTACAACGGATTGAAAGGAAATCAAAACAACTTCTTGACCCTGGTGACTATTACATCATTAAATATATTAGTAATATATGATATATGATATCCGTTCAGAGATCTTGCCAACTATCATGTCAACCCCTCGACAACCCTTGCATCGGTCAGCCAGCGGTCACCGCTGCCGGGCAAGTTCTCTTCTGCTCGGCAACGAATAAGGTACATTATAAGCTTATCTCTAGCTTCGAACAAGCTCTGAAAACACAATTACAGGATGCTTGCCCAATCAATTTCTATTGTCACATCGGCGCCAGCCCTGAAACAACTGTCTGCTGTCCGGGAGGTAGATTTTTTAGCTAATTATTTAATATCTAATAGGTTGTCACCTCAAAACTTTGAAATTCTCACTCATTTTAGCCACCAACCCATGCTCGGTCCCATTGGCGCCTGGAACGGGAATTGCTGGACTTCCAAGGTAAGCAACGAATTCAGTATTCTTCGTCATAGCACCATTGCTCTTTTTCAGATACTACTACAATCCCGATGATCGACAATGTGAGCCATTCACGTACAATGGAAAAAGAGGAAATCAAAACAATTTCCTCTCACAAACCGAATGTGAGAGAACGTGTCCAGGTCTGATTTCACACAAAATGTACAGATGGATCGGCGTTTGCTGGAGATCAGATCAAAAAGTTGAAAAACATAACGAATTATACCTTTCCACTAACCGCATGTCGCACTTCTAATTTCTTGTTCTTTTTTAAAGACAAATTTTTGTTTGAAGTGTTTTGTGCGTGAAATGAGAAACCTCATCACATTTCCCTTTTTTACCTCATAGTGTTCACGGATCCGTGTCTTGATGGAGAAGCTTTGAAGAAAACGATTGCATTATCTGAACAAGATAAACACAATCAATCAACCTCACCACAATGGTGTGATCCGATGCGACTCGCTCATTCTCCATCGTGTCCCCGGGGCTATTTTTGTCTTCCCGGCGATCAACAATTCAATCGATCCAGTGTCTGTTGTCCAGCTAGATTTGGTGAGTACATTGATGTGTGTCTTTCGAAACTATGCATTATCCAAATCTTTTTAGGGGATCCCTGTGAAGCTCCACTAAATGAGGGTCACGGCAATCTCTCTCTTCCTCGTTTCTATTATTCTTCTTCTGAAGGCGCTTGTCATCCATTTGCTTATCGTGGCTCAAAAGGCAATGAGAACAACTTCCTCTCAAAGCACCTCTGTGAAGAAAGTTGTGCACCAGGTAGTTAAAGTAAATCTTTTATCAATCAATCCTTTTAGTTGGAAACGTTTGCTTTGGTGGCGATACTCCGTTGATTCAAGAGGGAAAAATTGTTCAATGTATCTCGTCGTGTCCAATTGGATATTTTTGTCATCGGGGAGCTAATCCACGAACGACTGTTTGTTGTCGGAGTCAAGGTTGGTGGAAGTTAGAACACCTAATCTAACGGTTTTTAAATATCAAATTATTCAGGCAACCCATGCGACGCTCAGTTAATGCCCGGTGTTGGTGATGCTGAACTGGAGAGATATTTCTATGATACCGTCACTGATGAGTGTGTTCCTTTCAATTACACAGGAATCGGTGGCAATGAGAATAACTTCATGAGCAAGAATCAATGCCAAATCGCTTGTCCAGGTTTTTGTGCAAAAAAAACAGAACAAAACCTATTCCCTGCAGGTCTTCGAGGCTATTGTCCTCATGGTCGTCCCCATTCGGCTCCCCTCGGTGGTCGATCTGATTCGAATCATTCAAAAGCATCGTCGCATGTTGTCACTTCATGTGGAGTCGATATTCCGTGTCTAATCAATCACGTCTGTCATGTGACTAGAAGAACCGGGAAATCCGTGTGTTGCCCTGATCCGGGTGAGTTACGGGCTCAGCTAACATAGTTACGCAACTCCTTGACTACAAAGCTTGGACTACTGTAGTCAGAGTGTCTGATAGGTGTTACAGTAGGTGTTTGTCTTAATTTTTGTTTTTTTCCAGAAATACATTCAGAAATTTTCAGCCTCATTCTGCATTCTTCCAATCGAAACCGGCCGCTGCTCGCTGAATCTCACTCGGTTTGCGTATGATAGACATACGGGAAGTTGCACAAAGTATTAGTAAGTGTTGTTTTGTAGTTTTGTACATGAGATAAGGCACATTATGGTCAATTGAACTACTGAATTAAAACCTTTCAGTTACTCGGGTTGTGGCGGCAATTTGAACAATTTCGAGTCACTCTCGGATTGTACGGAAATCTGTTGTGATAAAGGATACAAGGATTTCCCATTCACTCAAAAATCTTCTTCCCCATTCAAATTACTCAAGAAACTTTTCTTTTTATAGACTTTTTCACCAATTCCTAAAGCATCTTTTTCTTTTAATAATCGCTGGTCGATTCCAAAATGCTTTTCCTACAGTAATCTCTATGAGATATTTCTACGAGTTTCACAAAAATAGTCAGTATTCAGTTATCCAATTAAAATCTCAATGTTTTTCCTTTTGCCCATCTTTTTCTTTTTGCTTTTTGACCAAAATGTATTTTTATAAGTAAATTTTCCATTTCTCCTTGCACAACAGAAATCGCTTTAAACCAAGACAAGCGATTTTTGAGGTTTGTTTGCTTTGAAAAGACTCAGAAATGGAAAATTTCTGCAGGTTTTTTTTCGTTGCATGCAGCTTCTACATACACGATACTGTAATTTCTATTTGGTGGCTTGGTTACCGTAATCTTCAATCTCAATCTACTGTAATCCTTGTAGCAAGTAATCCGTTAACGACTGCCTTAATTTAAACTACGGTAACCGATCCGCCTTCTAGACTTTGCAATATCAAATAACTCTCCCCCGGCACGGCTTTATCAGGCTTGGATATCCCTTCATCCAATAAATTTCACCTTTTGGGAATTTCTCTCTTTTTTTTTATTTCACATTTGATTTTACTAACGAAATATGAATGCAAAGAATTTTTTTGAAAGCTCAAATGTTCTCAGATTTCCATAACAAACGCCGATCTCCGTGGAAAATGGTGGAAAAATATATAGGATTGCTTGAAGGCAATCTTTAGGGGCTAATCTAAGAAAGTAAATTGAATATTTTAGAAGAATTATGTTTGCTATCGATCGATCGAGGAGCGTGCGCGAATCGAGTGTCAAGATACGCTTTCGATAGGCAAACGGTTTGTTTGCTTTTCTTGCCAAGACAAAAAAAGACATCAGTCAAGATGATATCAGTTAAAATTTTTAATTAAATACCATTTAACTTGCCATTTCCTTTCAGCCATTAAATGCCATTAAATGCCATTTCCTTTCAGAATCAATGTATCGCTTTCGAGTACACCGGTTGTGGTGGAAATCTCAACAACTTTGCCTCCTATGAGGACTGCGAATCGACATGTGCTAAAGTAAGTATAGAAATAAACAGGTATCTAGGTAGCGGGTTTTTCTGGCTGTTCCACCATTTGTTGCCGTGGTGCGGCCCGCTTCTTTACGGCCCACACGATCCGGGTTCGATCAGTAGTGCCGTTCAATTTTGAATTCTTTATTTTAAATAGATAAATTAAATAAACTATATTAGATTTTAAGACTTTGGAAAATATTTCTGATAAAAATTTGCCAATTTTATCATTTCCAGGTTCGTTTCCGTCGATGAGCTCCTTCAATCTCTACAAAAATATCAAAAAATGCTCAAATCCCGGTGCCTCGATGTGACTTAAAAAGAATTATAGAAGAAAACTCTCAATCAATTGCCATTTTTTTTTTACACTTTTCTTGATTCTTTGAATCTTTTTGGGAAAACGACGAATAATTTATGATTATCTATTTGTTTTATCCATAATCTACCCCTTCAAATATCTGTACATTTGACCTTAAATATGCTACAACTTAAAATTATATTTCTTTGAATGGAACCGGTATTCAGGTAGCCCGAAAAGTGAGCTCTTTTGAATGAATTTCAGAAAAGATTTCAGAAAATTTTTAAGAAAAAAAAAAACTTTTTCTGGTCACCTGCTCATCGAATTTTTTTTTTGATATCTAGTCCAGATTTTCACTTGATATTTTATAGATTTATCATTTTTTATTATAACTCATGGTTTGCTCATTATTTGGCCATCTTTGTGAATCTTTCTCCTCTTTTTGACAAGAAACTTTACCCATAAATTAAGCTGTGCTTTCAGAATGTACCAAAAAAAAACTTCCCTATATTTTTGATTTGTGTTACGATTATTTTATGCAAAAATGATAAAAAGAATAAATATTCTGAAAAAGGATCGAACTTTTTCACACTTGAGCCTAGAATTCTCATTTTTTCTGAATCAAAGTACACAATCAAAGTGACCCAGTCCAAAAAAAAGTCCAAAAAGCTCAACCCTTTTTACCCAACCACAATTCTGTGATCAAAATTTACGATCAAATTTTGCCATCTCATCTCAAAATTTTTAGGGTCAAATCTCGGTTTATCGCTTTCAATCGCGAAGCGGAAAGCTTTTGCTTTGGTGATGTGAAGTGAAGAAAAAGAAGCAATGGACAAAATTTGGAGTGAATCTGGTCAGTCATTTCCCCCATTTCATTCAACACAATCAGTCATCTCGCCCTCTTTTTCATTCTCTGTTATCAAAATTCCGTTTTCCTTCTTTTCTTCTTTCTACACATTCCCTGTTTCCCGATTTGCGATTCAGAAATGAGTAAATTGAAGCGCTTTCCATTCAGTCACTTTTTTCTGCATTTAAAAGTTCCGATTTGTTGATCAGACTGATCAAATTTGTTTTTCAAAGGTTAAATATTGTCTGCGGAAACGCTTTGAGAGTTCAGCTTTGACAGTTCAGCTTTGACAACTCATAAAGAACCTAATTAGCGGTCGTGAAGTTGTGGAACTTACTATAACGTAGAAGGTAGAAGGCCACTCTCAGTATGGTATCAAATCTATTCACTCATCCTCCCAGATCTAGTATAATTTATGGTTTATGTACAGATCTGTAGCCAAGAATTTTTTTGGAGAGGCAAAGGGGTCTCTTTTTTGGGAAGGGGCAAGCCTCTTCGAGATCAAAAATCAAGCTACCTGTTGTTTTCGATTTTTTTTTTGCTTTGCTGAATTTTGAGATGCCCCCTGACTACGGGTCAATCACTAAACTCTAGGATTAGGTCAAAAATGATTTAAAACAAATAAATTTGATTCTGGTACCAGATCGACGAAATACATCCTTCAAAACCCTTCAAATTACTCAATCAAATCAAATGGTGTCACTGCTTTGAGACTTGACTTTCCAAATTGAAATGAGTTTACTTTAAAACTAAAAGACACAGTCCTACTAGAGGAAGGCGGAAAAATACAGTAAAAATGTTTGTAGATTTTAAAAAGATGATCCAAATCAATTCTTTGATTGCCTTTTACTTCTCACATCTTGTTAAACCCTTTTTACTTTTGCCCATTTATGATAAATTTCATCATTTTTTTTTGTTATCTCTACTTTTTGTGAAAGACCAAATGATCAACTGCACAAAGCACATTTAAGTTGAAGTCATTTTACCCAAACTTGAGTAATCTTATCGAAATTCTGACTCCCTTTGAGCAAACTATAATGAAGTTGAAATCATCAAGCTTTTAAAATTTTATAGAATACCACTTGTACTTTCACTTGCCCCTTGGGGATTTTCAGAAAAATGCCCCCCGCTCCACCAGACGTGAATGTCCGTGTGATCACCGGCGATGATAAGAAAACTGTGGTCAGTTTTGAAAAGCACCGAAAGCTCATTGTCAGCCTAATAGCAAGATTCAGGTATCCATGTAGCTCTAGCTTTTATGCTCAATTCCCTCAAATCTTCCCTTTCCCTCAAATCAATATTCTCTTATTTTTAACCATTTTCATTTTGGAATTCGAAAATCATTCGTCGAAAAACTCTCAAAATTTTTGCGATAAGAATTGGAGTGGGGCGCGTGCATGAAAAGAGCACAAAAATTTCAAATCTGAGGGGAAATTTTGGAAGAATTGACACAAAATGAGATCATTCCCGGATTTGATAGAGAATCGATTGAATCGGATAGATGAATAATGAATCTAAAGCCTTGTGAAAAATGATGTTCAGGTGTTTGCCATCAATGTCAACTCGGGTCCATCGATGCAGAAGCGCTTCTCCGATTTTGAGCGTCTTCATGACAAGGTTATAAGCTAATTTGGTTGTTCTTGATCAAAACTTCTTGATCAAACTTTTCCAGATCAAGGACAACCTCCCGGCGACCCTCGGAACGCCACCAAGGAGGAAATTGCTGTTCTCATCGGACACGAAACTGAATGAGAAAAGAAAACAATGGATTACCGCTTTCGCGCAAACGATTCTCTCGAATCACACGGCTAGTCGGTGATTTTTTTTGAATCATTATTGCGCGAAAGAACAATCAATCTCTAAAAAAAACCAGTAACCCTGAAGTATTTAGAGAAGATGTGAAGGAATTCTTTTCTTTGGCTCAAACCTTTGACACCGATGAGGAGCACATCGACTTGGGATCTTCGGAAAATAAAAAGTTACATGAAAACTATGTAAAATCTTAATCTTACATTCAGAACGAGTCCTCACGATTTCGACTTTTTGCGTGAAGTTGGGAAGGGAAGCTTTGGAAGGGTATTCACAGAGGAATTTCATCAATTATTCTTGATTTTTAGGTTTTCGTTGTTCGTCACAAAGTCGATCGAAAGATTTATGCTATGAAGGTAAGAAAAATGGTATCTCGTATGCAAATTGAAATTTCGCAGGTTCTATCAAAAGAGCAGATTCGGCGCAAAAACGAGGTGAAACACGTGATGGCTGAAAGAAATGTGCTGAAGGTAAAGGGCTCGCTATTGCTGTACAAATTCATCTTTCAGGAAAACATTCATCACCCGTTCTTGGTGGCATTGAGATACAGTTTCCAGAATAAAGACAAACTCTATTTTGTGCTCGATTATTTGAATGGAGGAGAGGTTGGACTTCTTTGGGTTTTCTTAACGATATTGCAAAGTTATTGCAAAGTTCTGGCATAAGAAAAGTCTCTTTGAGATTGAGATTATCTACTTTTCCAGCTTTTCTCCCATCTTCAACGCGAGAAACACTTCAACGAGAGTCGTTCTCGTTTCTATGCGGCAAATATCGCATCGGCACTTGGGTATCTCCACGAGAACGATATCATTTATCGGTTTGCAGAAAGAAAAACAATCAACTTGTTTTCTTTGTAGTGATTTAAAACCGGAGAACTTGTTGTTGGACCGTCACGGCTATGTGGTATTGACGGATTTTGGTCTCTGCAAAGAGGGAATCAAAAGTAAAGACACCACATCGACATTCTGCGGAACGCCTGAGTAAGTCGAGACTAAGTAGCAGACCAAGATTACTAGGAAAAGGCAAGCACATCTTATAGAACCGGCCTTTCCCTAGTTAGAGACAGCGTATGTCATGTAAATGCTAACAAAATTCTGAGCATTGCCCTCAACAACAGTAAATTTGGACACTTTGCAGATATTTGGCTCCGGAGATTATTTTGAAGAAGCCCTATGATCGAACGGTTGATTGGTGGTGCTTAGGAGCCGTGCTTTTTGAGATGCTCTATGGATTGGTGGGAAAAGAAACTCAGGATATTAGATTACCCGGAATTCAGCCTCCATTCTACAGCAAGAATCATCAGGAGATGTATGAACGGATAGTGAATCAACCACTGCGCATGAAAACATCGATATCGGCTGCAAGTTCCGATATAATTCAAGGGGTTTGTTTGTGTAGTTTGTCTAGTTTTCTAATTCAAAACTGTTCTGATCCAAAAAATTTTCTTTTAGCTTCTTCAAAAAGATCGTCGAATTCGTTTGGGTGCTCGAAATGACTTCAAGGATATTCGAGGTGAAACACAAACCCTAATCACATCACTTGCATCATCATAATTTCAGATCATCCATTCTTTTTGCCCATTGAATGGAACAAATTGTTGGCACGAGAGATCAAAGCTCCTTTCATTCCGAAAGTCAAGGTTTGAGAAAAATAGAAATTCTTTTGAAAAAGAAACCTCTTCAGGATGAAATCGATTTCTCGCAGTTCTCACGTAAGTTTCTTCATTACTAGTTTGCTTTTAAAGTAATACAATTGTCTTGCTTGACTGATAACTTGAATTTAGGCGAATTCACTGACAGCAAATTCAATCCAGGTATGGAATTCACTAATAACAAGTCTAATCTATTCAATTCAGCATAAACTTTCAAAAATTTGACTTTTCAGCTTCATTGGCCCCAGAAAGCCTCGGTCAAACGATGCATCATGACAAGGAGTTCGCAAATTTCACCTTTGTTCAGCCAAAACTGAATCGGGAAAGTATGGAAGACTAAAATTTAACGCAATTATTGATTCTTGTTTCTTTCAATCATTTCAAATTTATTATGTATCACCTAAAATCGTTTCAAAAAATCAAAGGTTAAGTATTTTAAGCACATAATATCACATTACAAGTGTAGACAAGAATTGAACAAAAAACCCGCTAAAATCAGATATGAACATTGATATGAGCGTAAACGCAAAATGCTATAAAAAAATTTACTATACACTAATTATTATTTTAAAGAAAATAATGATAGAAAAGAAGTATTGTACAAACTTGGAGTAGTGCACTTATCGACTAGAACAGCAAATCCAACAAATCCGAACACGTACGCAATCCAGAGTGAAACCCTTTGATAGCGATGTTTGTAGTTACCTCAATATAAGAATATTATAAAGATTGCCAAATTATTCTGGTAGATAACTTTAGTTGAGCTTTGCTACAAAAATCTTAAAAGCTTACCAATCTCTTGTAGCAAAGGCAACCCAAGGTTGTTGCATAATGAATGAGTGATGATAGGCGCTACAAGGTGACCTAAAATTATATTCCATTGTTTCTATTAAATTAAACAAACCTGTTCGCAAAAAGAGGAATGTCGCATAAGCTCCGAAAATATAAGTGTACCCACTTTGGAAAACTAAATGAGAATCTTTAAACAAATTTAAAAAATCAATAAACTTCTCTTCATTAGGGCGACTTTTAGAGGTGCGCCTTTTCGTAGATCATCTCCGATATGATGAAGATGAGAGAGCGAAAAACTCAAAGGGGCTAAATAGGAAAATAGTAAAGAAATTCATTTAAAATAACCCAGTTGAAATGAAATATAATAAAAATAACTTACCAATAAATATCGTTTGTACTGGACTCAAACAAGTGCTCATCAAAGCTGCGGCACAACCACGAAATGCAATTTCTTCTGTTACCGGAGCCTAAATGTATATAGTTCCAAGCTTTCGAACCATTTGAAAGATTCAGTTTATAAATCAAATAAAAAAATAACTTACTACAATCACATCACGAAGCCAAGTCCACTGCTGGAGAGAATTCCTCAACGCGGTGTAGCCTATAGTCCCAAAATAAATTTTAAAAGATAGAGAACCCACTGAAGAGCTGTTGAAGATATCCATCGTAATACATCATTAAGAATTGTCCAGAGTAGAGAAGACCTAGCAATCCTGTTGGTATCAATGCAGCGGCGAGTAATCCCTAAACTTATTTTTTTGGAAGCTAAAATCGCGTCCAACCTCTTGTCGAATGCCCATTAACCTCAATGGTTCTTCTGTTGTTTGAGACAATACATGGTAAGTGATTCCAAGCGAGAGGACGTTATTGACAAGGGCGGCAACAAATCTAAACCAAAAATTATATCTTTCGTTGCGTGGGTTTACTTACCTAATTTTTCATAAATAATCAATAAAACATGTTACCGTTTTCTGACCGATTTCGCATCATTTCGGTCTATTCCCCCATGATCGAATACATATAGAAGCAGCACATATGAGACGGGGATCGCCGCGGACAATGGTAGTGAGATCCGACAGCCCATACAAAACGAGGCTTCGATCCTAAACACATGACATAGAGTCTGCATTCATGAAAAGAGAAAATCGGCATAGGAAAGACCGATAAAAACACGAATACAAAATACAATCGTTACAGGGCAGGCCAAATGACATTCCGTTTACATGCACTCTTTACATTTAGGTTCCACTCGGTGAATAAGCTTGCGCCTAACATTGCGAACAAATTTCGAAAATCTTCCCGTCAAAAACACCTGTCGACGCTTTTCTGAAGTCATAGCTTTTATTTTTGACTTCTTTATTCAACTTTTACAAGGTTTCATTTTTATTCATTATTTTTGTTCAATAAAAGTTTCTCGCAATGTTTCAAGAGCACAAGAAATCACAGCCAAACGATCGATAGCGGCAAATTTGATGTCAATTAGACAAGCAAACAATAAAGGAGGTGTTAACAAAACGAATCTGGCTAGCAGGCTCATAGAATGTAATTACCTTGAGTAATTTCAAGGTTATGGCAAATTTTTGAGTGATAATTGGTGGAAAGATCTTGTCGTCCGCAGTTTCAAAAAGAAGCCAACTCTCAAACCTTTTCCTTTAAGCAGACTAAAGCAGAGTAAAATAGCCTTGTTTGATAAGATTAGATATTCACTTAACCACTTTTATTTATTACACTACACAGTAAAAAGTTTTTGCCTTTAATTTGTCACTTTTTTCTCGTCAAAACTTTTTGAAGTTTCAAAGCTTAATTCCCTGCTTACCTATCTATTGATTCTTTTAAATTCAGGCCAATCAATCATTCGACTGCACGATTGAGATGGCCGCTAGTGAATTTCGGTATATCTTTTGTTCCCATTTCGCTTATTTTTTGTGTTTAGAGAAGTGCTTGAAGAATTGAAGGAAAACAACAAGATGAGGATCAATTTGCTGACAATGCTGGCTGAGGAAAACCAAGACGAAGCGCCGGGAATCGTCGATGTCATCGAGCAGAGAATTGAGCAGGTTCGGTTTTGCCATAGTTTGAGAATCGATAACGCTGAATTGAACGGTCTCGATTTTGAGTTATTTGGTGATTTTAAGTCGAACGAGTTAATACGTTAATCTCCAATTGTACAAGCACAGCCTGCGTCTGTTTGACAAGCATAGTAGTGCAGTTTGACTGGTGCTATTCAAAAACTATTATAAATAGTGTTTTAGGTCTCCCGAGAGCAGAAACTACCCATCCTCTATGTGACTGACAGCATTCTCAAAAACATCAAAGGCGACACTTACAAGAAGGAATTCAAAAGGATCATTCTGAAATGTTTTGTCAGCACATTCAAAGCAGTAAGACTTTTGTGTAGAAGTGCAAATACGTTTTATTTTAGGGAGATGAAAAGATTCGCGGTTCTATGTACAACTTGCGAAGAACATGGGGAGAAATTTTTCCCAAGTCAAAGTTGTACGAGCTCGACATGGCGGTCAAAGAGGTTTTTTGAGTTTTTGGCTTTACATTTTATTTTATTGCTTAGATCGATCCAGCATGGCCGATTGCAGCAGGGGGAGGAGCTCAACAGGCACCGGCTCAACCAGCTCAAGGAGCTGTACACGTGAACCCAAGGTTCATTGTTCCAAACAGTCGTCCAATGCCACCGCAAAGTAATAGCAGTTTTTTTTGTAATATCAGGAGTAATATCTTTCTAACATCAGGACAACAGCGACCACCTGAGAATGCAGCGCCTACTTCAGCAATCAAAAGGCCAACTACATCAATGCCGAAAACTTCCGCCGCTGCGAGTCAAAAGCTTCCGCCCAAACAACCACCACCCTCAAACTCTACATCCAAAGAAACATCTAAACCGGTATGTCACTTACTAAAGACTTCTGATTTTGTAAAATATTTATAAGTTTTATTTTTAGAAATCCATTCTGAAAGAAGTAAAGACAGAGCCGATGGAGGAAACAGCTTCGGTTTTTGTTGAGTAAGCAGTATAAACCTTTAACACGAAAAAATAATGCACTTTAGTGAGCCCCCTGTGAAGCGGACAAGAACTCCAGAGGTTAAGAAAGAACCTATGGATACTTCGGAACCATCAAGGCATCGTAAGCGGCATTTTAACGAAAACAACGACATGGGAATTCAACAGGTTTGAAGAGTTTAACATCGGCGGATACTTACCAACTTTTTTAGAGAAACAGCCAATCGCCTCCAATCATTGTGCCAACAGTGGCTCCTGGAGCTCATGCGTTTGCAGTCCCACCTCAAACGCTTGCTCAGCAAATGCCTCAACAAGCCATTTTTCCAAGTCAACAGCATCAACAAGGGCCGCCTGCCTTTTCTCACTACATGAACATGCCACCAGCTGGTTTTCCGACTGGCGCTCAAATAAATGTAGCTTTTTTCTACTGTGCAGTTGAATACTTATACAAGTAGTATGTTATTGGGTATGGATAACGTTTTAGACACACCCAGCTCAACCATCATCAACCATGGCACCAGCCAGAGTGCCAGTCCAATTAAAGCCTCCATCAGAAATCAGTCAATATCCGGTGAGCTAACTTTCACATTTATTTTTTACTTCTTTGTTTTAGGCTCCAACACCCACACCCGATCCAACTGCATCGTCATCCCGCCAAGCTCCCGTGATCGCACACGATGTCGTTAAACTTGAGGGAGTGCCTGCGAACAATAGAATATTTGTTGAAGGAAAGGCACATGAGGTGGATAAAGTTTAAATATTTTCGATAGTAAATTTTGTAGGTGTTCTACGTTGAAAACACTGCGGTGATTGAAAGAAATGGCCTACCGCACCGCATCTACTTTTCTGGGCCGGCTAAGAATGTGATAATCGACGGTGTTGTTCATCTACTGGGATTTAACGAGACAAAGGTACTTTTTGTATTCTCAAATAATATGTAGATTTATAATTTTTAGGCAATTTTTATTGATGGCGAAGAACATAAAATACGCTTTGGTGCCCCATCTCGAGAGCTTATCATGGGAGATTTTCCCTTTAAAGTTTGTTTTTTCTTGACAGCTTCTGCATAACTAAAATTTTAGGGCGCTTTTGGTGGTGCCCCAATCTTTGCTACGATCAATGGAGTACGACATGAAATTCGTTTGAGTGGACCGCCACCTGAGGTTGCTTTCGATAACAAGTCAAGTGTTACAGCAAAAAATTTAGGTTAAAATTGAACCCACGCCATCTTATGAGCTCTCGAGATTTCTTCCGGAATTGCGCAAAGCTCAACCTCAACAACCTGAGCCCAAAAAGGAAGAGTCTGGTAAGGTTGTTGTGTGTACGATTAAAATATAGTTTGGTTTAGTTGATCCGTTGGCTGCTCTTTTGAATAGTGTGAAGAAAACCTTGCTGAGTAGTCAAGCGGCCAAACGTCTTTCTCCACCGATTGATTCTACGCCAACATTACCACCAACAGCAAAGGGAATCGAAAGACGGAAAAATCCGCCCAGTCTCAAGGAAATCAATTTGCAATTGCTTAAAGTGTAGGTTTTCAGTTACACTTGTTCACGATTTTAATACTTTTTAGGCGCTATGATTCTGTCATCACGGGTATTCATCAAGAGCGAGAATGCTGTCCACATTGCGGAATGCGCAAAGATGTTTTCAAGGGAGACAAGTCAGCTTTTTAGATGTGATAAAATATTTTGGGTTTAGATATCGTAAGCACCAAGATTGGCACATAAAGAGGAATCTTCGACTTTTTAACAACGTTAGTAAAAGTCGTCCGTGGTTAATTGGACTCAAGGTGGTTTGATTTTTATTTTTTTCACTTCATTTTATTTTTAGGCATGGACTCAGGATACTGGTATAGAGGAGGACCAGGAAGAAGAGGAAGAAAAGACAAAGATTGGTATGAGCAATCATATGATTTTTTTAAAAAAATGAAAATTTCAGCAAGTCAACCAAAAGTACAAAAAATGAGCACCGCTGAGACAGAATCAAGGGTGTGTTTTATTTGGTCAAAATTTAAATACGTATTTATTTAGTGTTGTGCGTCTTGTTCACTCGAGTTTAAACGCGATTTTGATGAAGAGGAAGAAAAATGGACCTTACTAGATTGTGTTATGGTGAATGGAAAGGTTGGGTATTTTGTATTAAACCTTGGATCGTAGTATCATCTCACGTCAAGCACATTTGTTTAGACATATCATCAGCAATGCTTATTGGATGCTTCATTGACAGAGCCGCCTTCAAAAACGATGATCAAAGAAGAACCAGAATCAGACAAATCCGATATAAAGATTTTTAAGCTTGACATTTGATTTGGTCGTTTTGTTTCAATTTTGATCTCACCAATCTTTTGCGCGTTTGAAATTGACGCTAAAACTAAGTCGTAGTCCAAAAGTAGAATTATCGAGTTTTTCTATAGTAAACAAAAATTCTACATTAAATAGCTTGTCATCTTTTAAAGTAGTATTTCCTCTAAATATTCCGCTCGCTAAAACAAAAACCAAAAATAGTCTGTGATCCAAACTTTATTTTTTAAGTTTGGCCGTATAGAAGATTTGCTCTTGCTTTTCAGCTTTTTTCTCATCTCCTCGACGGATAGAAGAGTTCGGTGAAAAAGGAGTCCTCATCTTTTTTGCGATGATAAAATACCGCGTACTCCGAATAAATATTTCTCATCTTTTATACTTGTTATTTTTTACATTTTATACGGTTTTATTGAATAAATTTTTTTATTAGAAATGTTTTCTGAAGAAATACGCTTTATGGACGTTCAATTTCTGTAACTATTATTGTGCAAGCGCATTATAAAGTTTTATGCCATGTAGAGAATTTTCAAGTTGGGATGGCATCGGTGGTTGTCATTATTGAGGGTAGTGTGTGTGCTTGGGGTGAAATGAATGAAGCACATGGAGATGAAGCTATTCCAGAAATTATACGATCATTGGTGAGTTTAGTTTTTTCTACATCGGTGTAAAAAGTTTTCGCCTACTTTTTGCTTGAGACAGAAAATGACAAAAGAGTCTTAAATTTACTATCTAGTTTTTAAGACATTCCCATTGATAAAAAGTCAGTATTTACTATTTACTCGAATTATTTTACAAGATTCAATTGTTGCATCGTTGTATGCAGGTAGCCTTCACGAATGCTCATCTCTCAATGTCTGCTGCAAATGGGTTGCTGATTTTGGGATACGGTGTTGATACGAGTAAACAGGTATGTATTTTTTGAGAACCATGCACTAACTCAAATGGCAGCGTTATGTTTGACGTTCAGGTGATATTCGACAGTCGTTCGTCCGTAAAAGGAAATGTCGTTTTCGATACATCTCGAGCGGTGATTCAGGGAATTAGAGAAATTTTGGAACATGGTCTTAACGTTGAAGATTCCACGGCACATTCATCACTTGCGCCCGCTCTTGCGCACGGTCTTTGCTGTAGGTTTTTTGGTAATCATTTTAGTTGTTGTGTTTATCTCCACACGCTTGTGTAATTTTAAAACGAATTGCTTACGGGCGAACGTCTTGGTTAGTCATAATAAGATAGATATTTAACTCGAATGCAAAGACAATGTATTCATTGAATACACTGTCTTTGCATTCGAGTTAAATATACTATCTATCTTTTCATTTCGATTAAACTAGCCAATCCTACTCTATCAATTTTAGACCTGAACACTTGCACTACACTCTCCGAGGCTTTGCCGACCAATTCAATCGCTACAACAGAAACGAAAGCCTCAAAGGATAATCGCGTGCTAATAGTATCGATGCGAGATGAAATTGTCACGGAACACAGTCAATTGATGAATCTTTTCTTCACGGCAAATAAATATGGTACGCTTTTATTTAGGCAGCTATTTTACGTGATTGACGAGATCAGTTAAATTGCTCTTAAATTTAGGTTATTGCGTTGATGTAGTTGCCCTTGACAATCCATCTCCTTTATTACAACAGGCTGCTGATATTACTGGGGGATTATGTCTGCGGGTGTCGAAACCAGATGAGTTGCTGAAAGCCTTGATGGTAAAATTGTTATTATGATTTATCTGTATTTGTTTTAGACACACATCCTTTGTCCAACTTCATTAAGAACTTCATTTTCCTCTCCTCCAGAGGGAACAGTCGATTATCGAGCCGCCTGTATTTGTCATAATCGACTTGTCAATCAAGCCTGGGTACGTGATTTTGTTAAAGTTGTTTTTCCTAATTGAAAATAAGTCGACTCTTTTAGATTTGCTCAGTTTGCTTGGCGATCATGTGCCAATTTATGCCAATCTGCAAAGTTTGCAAGTGAGCTGTTTAGTACCAAATAACTGACAATTGCGAAATTTAGAGCCGTATTTCCCCTCCCGCCACAGAAGCCCAAAAAACGTCCGTCAACCGCTGCAGGAGGTCTGGCTAAAAAGAAGCCGATGCTAAAATAGTTGTGTGTGCATCTTTGTAAGCACTTTTCAAAACGGGTAATAAACATTTTACAGAAAGGTGTTGGTTATTACAGGAGCTAGCTCGCATTTCTGTGAACAGATTCCATTTTGTTATCCGATGACGAAACAGTTATTGAAAAGTGGGTTTTGTAAACGAAATTTGAAGATACCGTAGAACTCAAGTATACAAAAATTCATAAAAAACGGCACAAAAGATGGGCGCGGAAATTTGCAGATAAATTCAGTTCAAGTTGGCATTCAAATTATTAAATTTGCATTTAAAAAGGGATGGCACCACGTGCGTAAGATCAAAATGTAAGATTACAACAGAGAAATAAAAATGAGAAAGGTAAAGTGGAGTTGGTGAAGAAGAGAATGGGAAAGGAGAACTCTCGGGTTCATTGTCCGCTTCGATTCCTTTTCATTCTCACTCCTTTTCCTCTTTTTCCGTTTGTGGGAGTTCCCCTTTGAAGTCTTGTCCTTTTTTCTCTCATTTTCGGTGTTGGCTCTCAATTAGTCGCTATTTGTTGACCTGTCTATTTCTGTGTCTGATTGGGTTTTTGTGTTGCGAGATTCCTTGAAGCATTGGGTAAATGAATTTTCGAATGAGTCATGATAGGAAGCAGATTCTTCTTCATCGACACTCAAGGCAATCGGAGGTTTTCCCCTAAAGGTTACAAGTGGTGTATTTCCTCATACTTCAACTAGTTGACCCGGCTAAAATCCCAATTCTCAAGTATTTTTCTTCCGTTTTCTTGATGTTCGATCTTTTCTTGCAAATTTCCAGCCTTTATAGCGGAATTTTAATTTTATATTTTCTTTCTGGTCTGCCAAAGAAATTTCCTCCTCAATCTTCAATCTTTGAAAATTTCCTTATTTTGAATTTTCATTAAAATTTCTACTTAACTCTGCTACACCTTTTTAAATATTAAAAATCTTTTCAACTTTATCGAACTTCCTCCTTTGTCTTTTTTAACAGCCAAGATAGACTACTTGACGGTGGTGATTTTTCTGTTCAAGGTTGACTTTTGAGATGGAAAAAGGAAAGTTGTCAGCACTCTTCCTTACTGATCATTATCGCGTGTTTAAAATTAATTATTTAATTCTTCATGAAAATATTTCTTGAGATTTGATCTCATCCGGAAAATTGACAGACCCGGAAGAATTGAAAACATTTCCTTTTCCATCTTCACTTATGAAACTTTAATTCTGTCATTATAAATAGTAAACAAAATTTGAGCAAAAAACACATAGCCAAGAAACGTTTACTTGACTGGACTCAAGCTTTCAAATTTCAAATTTCAAACTTTGCGGTTTTGACTCTCGTCCTAGACCCTCAATCTCTTGTTGAAATGAACTCCTCATAGCCAAGGGGTATCCTCTCTCAAAGATAATGATCTACCCCTAGGTAAAAGAAAAAAAAAAGAAAGGAAGAAAGGATTGTTCTTTTTATTTTCTTTCTTTTCATCTCTTCTTTTCCTTTTCCCGAGAACCATCGATGGCACAAAATTGAGGGAATTCCTTTTCCGCTTTCTTTTTTTTTTCTTCTTCCAAACTCTCAATTTCTTTCTCTGTTTTTCAAATGAAATGAATGTTTTGACCTTTTCTTTTCTCGAATTGCTCTTCCCATCCATTTCTGGCATAAACACATAGGACGGTCATTCTCCTCCTCAATTTTTCGTTTGCTCTTTCTCAATTTTTCAAATTCTCAATTTTTTTTTCAAATCCACTCTGCTTTCTTGAGAAATTGATAGAAATGATAAGATTGAATTGAGAAATTTTCCAAAACTTTTGTAGTAATACCACATGAGCTAACAGATTTTTGAGCCATTTTCCAGCTCTATAGCACTTGATTGAAAGCTTTTATGCAGAAAAGAAATTTTAAAAAGGGCTGCTACGCAGGAGTACGCGATCATACTCTTTACCCGGTCTTCTATTCGAAGAAATACGGTATCTCAGTCAATTACCGGAAACAACTGCTAACGGACGATTATCAAAAATGAATTTAATCAAAGTATTGATATCTGTATTCTGCTTCACACAGAAATTTTCATTAGACAGTAAAAAGAACGGGAAAGAGTATTGGAAAGTAGTAAGTCAAGGGAAATGGATGAAAAAGTGAAGAGAGTTTGTTTGCACGAGTTGTTTGGCTGTCTTGAAGTTTGCCGCGCTCTGGCCCTCCCCGGTTTCTGTCTCACTTCAAATCTTTTCACAACCACATGGTCTTTTTCTATGATTTTTCACTTGAGAACACTATTCAAAGTAATAAAGAATGACAATTTCGTGATTTTCGGACTTTCGTGATTTGTAGTCTTTCTTCTGTTAGTAAATGATCGGAAATCTCGGAAATGCTCTTCGATTTCCTTTTCACCGTACTTTTCTGTGCTTTATACATGTCAACGACTCGAAAGTCTGCATAAAATGCTGTAAATGTTTAACCTGATCCATCATTTGAGTGAAACTTTGTTTTTAAATCATTCCTTTTTTTTCTTGCAATCCATGCCATTGAGTGTGCGGGGGTTTTGTCCGCCCTGTTTGTTGTGAGGGGGAAAAGTCAAGGCTTTTGCTTTGGGCAGCCGCGTACTGGTTTTATGGTCGACTAGCCGTAGAAAGGGAAAAAGGGAGAGAAAAAGAAGAATAGCTAAAAAGAATCATTATTTTCTGCCATTTGCAAACGCCCATCATCCTTTTCAGACCTAATCCTTAGGATTTTGAATCCAAAAGAAAGCGGCTGAGGTTTCTCTTTTGGCTTTACAATTAGTTGTATCAATAAGAAGAATTCCTCATGACTTTTATTAACTTTTTCATCTACATTATCTCTGAATTTTTGGTTCTTTTGCTTTGTTGAAGTTGAAGAAAGTTTCTTTGCTCTTTCACAAAACACTAAAATTTCCTTTATGTGAATCCTTCGATTTTTCGATAAACCAACGACACAAACGTCTTCTTTTCGCGTTTTGAAACGACTGTACGAGTTTGCCATTTTGCTATGATGACAAGAGTTTGAGATTGGATTTGTTATTTTCCGGATCACAGGAGTGATAAACCTGCTTATGATTAGCCTAAATGATTGCCTGCTTATGATTGCCATCCTTGTTATTTTGCCACTTGAACATCCAGCAATAGGTATCGTGACTTTTCTGGAATCCGAAATCTTCTAGCGGAACTCCTTTCATCAACAAACTCGAGATTCTCCAGATGGGAAAACTCTTTCGAAATTTGATGCACTAGACTCTAAACGGTGCCTTGTTGGGGATTTTGTTGACGGCCTTGCCGCCCCTTGCAGCTATTCCGTGGGCACAAACAGGAAGGGCATGTATTGTTGTTGACTGGGAGAGTTCATTGAGGATAACCCTTTCTCGTTTCTCGAGAAGGGGCACTCCCCATCTGTTTCTCTTCAAAAAGAGATCTCTCTGGATTGGCTGTTCTCTCGTTTTCTCTATTCTTTGCAATTCTTTGCAATCTTTTCCCTCTGTCTCTATCCTTTCGCTGCCTTTGACGGCCCACTGCCAAACCGACCTTGAATTTTCAGCCCGTTTTTCCACAAACCCGACACCACACACGTCCCAGCTATAAGACTGAGCTTTTTTGTGTGACCGATTTCTCTCTTTTTCCTGAAACAAATTTATTGCCGAGATTGCCTTCAAAATCTCGAGAAATCTAGCTTTCTCTTGATCAGTTTAATGATAAATTTAACGAATGGCATCTAGACAATTTTACAAAGTTTACCTTTCTTTCTCTTTTTCCTGAATAACGGTGGATTGGTCCCTTTGACACAGACCGTTGAGTAATTCAATCAAGTTTTGATCGATTTATGAGACAGTGTTTGTAAAAGACGCCCATTCAACGCTCTGCAAATAACTTTAGCCATTCATAAAGTCAAATAAGACACCTAAATGTCAAAAATGCATACTAAATTCGAATTGTTATTCCATTTCTATAAAAACAAACACATTCCTCTGTCCAATCACCCCGATTGCTCTATTGTAATGACATTTCAATTTCAAACACTTTCCTTGGTAACGAAAACAAAAAAGAACTGTTTTGGAATAAATCGGACGAAGGCAAAAGCATAGGTGTTGCCGACAAAAATTGGGGTAGGCTAATTTCTGCCATTTTATTTGTGCCACAGGGTCATTTGCTGACCCTGTTGCGCAAAAAAATTCGCGCAAAGTAGCCTATCCCCAAAAATTACCTTACTTTTTTTAATGTCTATCCTAAATGATGCTCCTACTGTATAAAGAGTCAACAACGATCATTTAGGCAATCAATTTTTTCATTTTCCTTGAGTTGCAAAGCAGGGTAGGCTAATTTCCGCAACTCACCATAAATTTCTGCTAAGTGGACCAATCTTTATGATTTTGGTTTCATTTTGTTGCACTTATTGAGATCTACAATTAGCCTACCCCGCAAAGCGCGCTTTCTCCCAGCTCTAATGTCATAGTTCTGCTTGACTTTACTGTATTCTAGTTTTCCCTTAGTTATACTTGACTTTTGTTACTCTTAGCAGTTATTTTGCAGCGTATTTCACTGATCCTTTACGTTTAAACCCAGTTAAATGATCGGACAAAGAGCATTTTGCTTCCTTTTATCTTTACTGCATATCTCCGCTTTCGACCTCATTTTTTAAAGCTAAAAAACGAGTCAGGTGGCCGGCCTGAGGTTTTGTTTTTTAGAAATGACGGCACATGTTTTGAAAAAAACGTGATTCTTCCGAGTCGTAGAGATAAGTCCGATAATGCGGTGTGCCTGGTCGCTACGGGGCGTAGCTAGTCATTTTGTTGGATTTAAACAATAAGCAGTGTTCCCCAGTTACTAAAAACTAGCAACGATTGAACTTTTTGAAAATCTTTACGCTTCTTTATTAATTGTTTCCTTGTTAACTTTTTCCCAAGTCTTATTTATTTCGTTTGTAAATCTTATCAATGCCTTAGTTTCCCAAATTGTATTTTTAGGACATGTTGTGGACAGTGGCGCTAACAGGAGGACCACGACGGGTGAACCATGCGGCTGTGACAATTGATGGACACGTCTGGACCTTTGGCGGGTGGGGGATTGTTTTATTTTATGTTAAATAACGAGTAATTGCAAGTTTGTCATGTTAGTAGTAATATTAGGTTGGTGGGAAAATAATCGAAATTTGAAGCCTCTAACTTCAAGTCCAAAACTTTCCGATTCACCAAACCTGGGTCCAAAATTCTCAATTTTGTATGCATTTTTTCTATTTCCAAAATATATTGGTCCGAATTCATAGAATTTCGTGTTTTCAAGAAAGAAAAATGTATTATTCCTTACATGGACCACCAAACAGTAATCATCACTTTTTTTTGATGAATCTCTGGCTTTGCAGTGTGTTTGGGCTTTTCATCTTTGCTTTTTCATTTCGGGTTAGAAGCGTCGAGGCGGCTGTCAGACGCTGCAGCCTCTGAGAGTCGCTTAATTCGTGCGGGATCCATTGCTCCATCTTCTTTACCTTTCCGATTGGTTTCAAATGAGCCAAAATTGTTGAATGATCAACCTGAAGGTCCTGTGCGTATTCTCGAGATGTTTTGGTCGAATCTCCGTCCACCAGTTTTTCCAGTTCTTCATCGTCAACCCTGGGAGGCCTTCCTTGACGTTCTTTGTCATGAAACGTCTAATCGCCCGAGTGAAATCGCCAAAACCAAAAAGCGACCATACCATAAGAAACACTTCCCTCGCCAAATGCCCTGTTGATATTACCAGTCGCTTCTATTGCTGTATGGTCAAGCTTGAACTCGTAGAAAAAAGTGTCCGAAATTGTTCCTTATCCATGCTCTTAAAACACTCAATTTTTATTCGAAATAAAGACTGATTGTAAAGTAAAAAAAAGAGAAGAACATATATAAATCACAATTAGCTAAAAGTTTAGTATCAATGACGCAAAAGGACTTTTAAAATCAAAGACAAAGTTTGAGTCTTTTTTATTTCGATTATTTTCCCACCAACCTAATAGTATCTGAACACTTAAGATTACAGTTGTTTTAAAAACCATCAATCTTAAATTACATTTCCAACTATGTAATTTTATTTCATTGGCTTTTAAGATATTGCTCTGGTGAGCCGCAGGAATCCAACATCCCAGTCGACATTCATGTGCTTAATACACGTGAGTTTATCTTTATTTCGTCATTAACTATATTTTGGATTTAGACACCTATCGGTGGCAAGCGGTCCATGCAACGAATGAAGGAATCCCACGCCAACCAAAGGATCGGTCAACAGGACGAGAAGAACAAATGGATGGCCTCAACAGGATCGAACGCATTATGGGAGGCGCTATACTTGGAGAAGAAATGGATGTCGACGAAGATGACGACGATAGATTGTAAGAGCTTTTATCGTTTGGGCTGAATGAATAACTTAACTCTTTTGAACCATCATAACATTGCTTTTAGATCAGCAGAACGCCTCCCTAAACAAGTGCCATATCAACGATACGGACACACTGTTTGTGCGTACAATGGAAAGGTTGACTCTTGATACAATTGTATAACAACTTTGATGCTTAGGCCTATCTCTGGGGTGGCAGAAACGATGAATTTGGTGCGAGTTCCCTGCTGCACGAGTTCAATCCTTGTTGGTTATATAATGTTTGACGTTAATACTTGGCTTTTAGGCACACTGCAGTGGACTCTTGTTGAAACCACTGGGATACGCCCGCCAGCTAGAGATGGTCATTCAGCGGTTGTTTATGGCTCCAAGTAATTTGATTAAAAGTTTCGATGCTCATTTGATTTTAGGATGTACATTTTTGGTGGTTTTGAGGAGGATCTGCAAAGGTTCAGCCAAGAAACGTATGTTTTTGACTTCAAGCGGCAACGATGGACGCAACTGATTACTAAGGTTGTTGCTGATTTTTTTTCTAAAGAAATAAAGATTTTTAGGGTATTCCTCCTCTGTGGCGAGACTTCCACACCGCAGTCGCTCTTGATGACAATATGTACGTGTTTGGCGGGAGAAGCGACCAAATGGGTGAATTCCATTCAACGAAGGACATTTACGATGAACGCCTTCAGGTTTTATTCCCACCGCGATTCTAACTTTTTACTTTAGATTCTAAATTTGAAAACTTTGGAATGGCGCGAAGCTGTTGCAACGGGACCAAAGCCTTGTGGGCGTCGATCTCATTCTGCATGTAAGCTTGCAACACAATGACATCAAATACGCCAAATTTATTTTAGGGGCGTACGGTGGTCGAATGTATACCTTTGGTGGCTATCAAGGAACAATAAACAAACACTTCAACGATTTGCACTGTTATGATCCAAACACTGGAAGCTGGGAAGTGGTCTGTGAAACTTTCATTGTTCTTTAACATTCTGCTTAGGTTGTGCCAAATGGAGAGTTTCCATCAGCAAGACGGCGTCAATGTACTGTTGTTATTGATCACAAACTCTACCTCTTTGGCGGCACTATGTAAGTTTTCCTTTGTTTACACTTAACATTTGGTTCTTTAGGCCCATTGGTGTCACGGCAAATAATTCGGCGTCTGGATTGGCAGACCTCGACGATCTTCATATTTTGGACTTCCAACCGAGCTTGGAAACACTCGCCATGCAGCAACTCATCAAACTAAAGGATCCCAGAACCGCATACTATTTGCCTCGAGTTTTATGGTGGGTTTTTACGCGAAAGTGAAGAATTTATTGCTTTTAGGACACAATACGAAAACATGACAAAGCCAAATACGATCTCCCCTGGACACAGCGCCACACGAATGGAACTTTTTGGTTGAGGAGAGTTTTGTATTTTTTTGAACATTGCTTAGGCTTCTGTTGTTCTTTGGTTTTTTTTTGCGATATTCGTGTACAAATACGGTTACTATTTTTGCTTGTATAGTTGCTTTAGCAGATATTTTTGTTGTTACATTGGCTAATGGACCATAAGTCTTTCTTCAAGAGATATTTTATGTGCCTTTGAAGTATAATTTCACCGGTCTATTATTTCTCGTCCTCAGTGTAATTGTCAATTGTATATAAGTATTTTGACCAGATGTATTCCGTTAGCCGTTCAACGTTTACCCTTGTAAAAATTTGTCATGTTGGATATTCTTGTTGGATGATCGTGCATTTTTTTTGATTGTCAATAAAATTCAGGGATAAATTACGATGCAATTGAGCGAATTTCTAAAGTTTATCGTGTTTAAAAGCTGCATTGTGACAAGCAATTATTTTCAACATTTTATTCCTTGTGTTTACAACTTGATAACAGGTTGGAAAAGACCGAAACAAAGCAGCAAATCATACAAATCCATCAATGACTTCTCAAAAATTAGGTGTTTCTCACTGACAAAGAGATTTGTAGAAATGCTGCTGGGAGCTAAGTGAATCAGGCATTTATCAAATTTTTGTGTACGAGTGGTCGGGAGTTTTTCGGAACTTGACTATTCAGTGGGTGGTAATTGTATATAAATTTCGGTCATCAAAAGAATCAATTATCATCCACTGCTCACATCTTCCTAACAATATTTGTACATACATACATATCCAAAACGGAAAGGAAATCGTCAACTACCGAATCACACGAAAACAACAAAATTTTGAAGATTTGAATGAAAAGGAGACACAACTTGTTCTTTTCTTCTCTACGGGTCTACATATAACCTATGGGGTCTACATAAGAAACGTGGGTCGATTTCACGAATATGTGCTTTAGTTCCGAGTGTGTAAAAGGGGATGGGAAGTGGGGAAAATGATACACGGTTTATATAAACACAAAGCCAATTGGAAACCTAAGCTAAAATTTGATGATCGATGGTTCAGAGAATCTATGGAAATTTGAACAATTAGCATTAAAAATCAGATTCTTTTTTCCAAGGATCATCAGAGGTGGCCAGGGAAATGACCTGCATTGAGCGGCCACCACAATGAAGTGGATGAATGGCCCAGAAAAAAAACAAACAAACAAAATGGGGATATGTGTTTGCTTTTCCCAAAAAGAAAATGATGAAGCAACAAGAATTGTATCCAAAAAAAAGAGGAAATGATAAAATGATCACTATGTGGATGGGAATTTTGTGGGAATTTGTGGAATTTTCTAGGGCCGTGAAAAAAAAAATGAAACAAAACACAAAATCGCATGGGAAACCCTCAAGCCATTTTTCTGCTGATGCTGAAAGAGATGAAGTGTGGAATCGATTTGATGATCAATAAAATCGAACGGGAAAACTATGTACATATTTTTGTGATCCCGAATCTTTTGTGTATGTTTTTTGTTTAGATCGGGATCACGAGAACATGCATTCGGATTTGGGTTTTGCAATACTGAAGCTAGGTGATCGATTTTGAGTATTCTTATGAACTTTTTCTCAAATTTCTTTTCAAAATCGATCACTCAATCAATTGGCAACAACGGGAGGCTAAAAGCAGACAAATGTATATCTTGGCTGTGAATATTGGAATTTTTTCTCGAGGAGAGGAGATACACACAAAAAAAAAGAGGAGAAGAAGTATTTCTAGATCCCCTGAAAACCGAAGGACCTAGGCTGTCCAAACAAAGATTCGAGCTGATGGAGTTTTCTGGCAAATCAAAGAAAAATCAGCTCAAATCTTTAGGGGAAGGCAAAAAAACAAAGTGCGTTGTTTGGAAGGGCGGTGGCTACCCCTGAAAACCGAAGGAGCCGAGCCCTTGGCCAATGGTGAAGGGAGGGAGAGGAAATGGTCACAAAATACAACACACGCACACGCACACTCGTTGAAATCTGTATATTGGGGAAAAGATATTATTTGTTCCCCCTAATTTTGCAATGCAATCAAGCGGTGGGAGTGGGACTTTGCCAGATTTTTTGCAAATCGCCGAGAAGCGACGAGCCGAGGAGATCATCCTCTTTGCGACCGGTGGCAAGTGAGCCGAATCCGTTGTATCCCCATCCACCCCACATTGGACTCATTTCTGATGATTTTTGGGTGTTAGCAGCCTTCGACATCTCGAATGGTCCGCGCGGAGTCTCCAATGCAGAAGTTGAGGTTTTCAGTGGCGTGAGTGGTGTACGAGTGGATGAGCTCAGATCGAAGCCCTTAAATTTGAAAAGTTTAAAGATGGATTCTTGAGTTTAAAGCAATCAGCAATTTTACGCTAAACTAGTTTTTTTTTCAACAGTTTCAGTAGAAATATCACGAACCTGATCTGGGAAGACGAAATTCTCCAAAAAGCGATCGGGGTTGAAGGTCGGATTTCTCAACTCGGTGCCGGTCAACTTGTTTGGTCGAGAGAGAGCCTCGAGAGACAAATCCTCCATTTGGGAGAGGAAAAGCTCTTGAATGGCTTGATCTGCTTCACTGGATGAACTGCTCGATGAACTCTCGGAGATGATACAATTTCTTGGCATCTGTCCGCGAGCAAGAGCTGCTCCATATGATTGAAAAGCGGAATGCTGAATGGGAGTGGCTGTGGGAAGGCGGGGTGCCTGTTGCGAGGCTGGACGGGTGGGTTGTCTCTGAAAATTTTTGACTTTCATTTCCCTCTCTTTCTTCCTTGTGTTTTCTATTTCTTTTTGGGCAAACAAGGCGCTGATAGCTCAGTGGTAGAGCACTGGCCTGGTAAGGAGAAGGTCGAGGGTTCAATCCCCCTCCAAATTTTTTACGTTATTAATTAGTTTAAGTAACTAATTTTTCGTGTACTGCTGGAGTGTAATCTAGAAAGCTTGCAAACCTTTCTCCATCCGTCAACACTGGCCATCTCATAGTAATATCCATCGGAATTTGGATCATAATATTTGTATGCTGGTTGACCATAGAGAGCCTGTTGAAGGAGTTGAAGAGCCCGAGGATCGACACTGACTCCAGCGGTGGTGGCTGCTGGAGGATTGGCTGCTGTTGGGGCAACTTTCTCGGTGGGACTGCTGGCTACCTGAAATATTAAAGTTAAATCTAGAATATTTTTTTGGAATCTGGTCTAAGTATGACCTAACTTGAACTTGCAACTTTTGTCCTTTCTAGTCTTCCAAATCACTGACCGTCTCTTGTTGCTTTTTCGGGTCAGCATTCGGCTGTCTTCTTCTCCATCCTTTTGCCCCGTTTTGTTCATAGTAATATCCATCTGTGGCCACATCGTAATACCAATAATCCTCCTTGAAATCAGTCACAATTTTCTGTTTTTCGTCACCAGGTGATTCGCTGTTAGCTGAAATGATTGTTAGTTAGAACTGTTATTGTTTTATTACTTGAAATGCGTTAAGCTTTAATCATCTTTATACCTGATCCCTCGCTGGGTGATGTGTGACTATCGATACGTGATCGCTGCATTTCTTTGGCCTTTCGATGGACACGTTTTTTCCGTCTCTCGTTCCCATCTTTCACTCCTTGATTCAACATCTTCTCCTGAGTGAGTTGTGTCTGATTCGATTGCTTTATTGGTGCAGATGATGAAGCTGAAATTTTATTGTTTAGATGAGCGGTTAGAAATGAAAATAAAGTTCATTCAAGAATTGTTTAAGGAAACGAGAGGCAAACAAGGGCCTCAACGTTTTTCAAACTCAATGTTCAAAAATTAGAGTAAATTTCCAAGTGAGAGAGAGATAAGAAGAAAATGCTGAACACTCAGAAAAGCCCCGGAAAATGATAAAGGGAATTGTTTACAAAAAGTGGGAAAACAAGGGAATAAATTGGGGAGAGAAAGGGGATGACCGGTGACCCCTCCGCCCCTCCACTTCCCGAAATCGGGTGGCTTTGTGGAGGGGTGAAATTTCAGAAAAAACGCTATCGATTTTCAAAGAGATGACACTCCCCTTTTCCTTTTTGTGCTTTTCGTTCACAGGGCGGTGATACGGGGCACGAAGGGCGGTAAACAGCTGATTAGTCACACGGGAGACTACGACGCAAAAAAAGAGGATATTGTGATGGTCAAGGGCTTTGAAAAGGGCTTCCTTGGCTTTGAAATGTAGCACTCGAAAGTTTCTGGAAAAATACGGCTGATTATGTTTTTGATTATGACTTTCTGGAGCTATTTGTTGGAAATTTGATGGCGGATCAAGAGCCCAAAAAGAGAGAATGGAATCAAATTTCGGAAAAGAGCACAAGATGGAGAATAAAATCGAAAAAGGCGGAAATAAAAGAATTTCTTGAAATCGAGCTAAAGATGTGATAAATTAGAGTAAATGAGTAAATGAGATCTTTGACTCACTCCAAAGTGATTAAAGATCTTCTCTAATGTGATGAATGTTTCAAAGAAGGGAAAATTGATGTCGTTCGAGTGAATAAATGAAAAGAGAAATGCGAAAAGAAACACGTGACCCTATTGGAGAAAAACGAACGCCTCGTTGACTCTTTTTCTTTTTTCTGTTGTCCACACACACTGAATTTTCACGAGAACATTGGAAAGGAGAAAAAAGACAAACAACTGGCGATCAACTTACTGACGATTTGTGGGTCATTTGAGGGGAAATGATTTAAAAGAGATTCTTGAATTTAGTACTTTTCAATTATTGGAAAAGTCAAAGTAGGGATTAATAAAACATTCCTTTATTACGTACAATACGCTCAATACAAAAAAATAAAATCAATTTTAAAATTTGAAAGCCGTAAAAAGCTGATAGAATATAGTTGTGGGGCAGAAAAAATTGTATCGAAAATCGAAGTGGCGATCGACAGGGAAAGGGGAGAAGAGGGGCCTTTTTAGCCATCTCTCCCAAATGTGATCGGAGACGTGATCATGAATAAACATCAAACAAACACCCTTACAATTGTATGGGGGTGGAGGGGGCGATCGAGAGATGTTGTGGCAGGGCAGGGGTGACGATCATGTGGACAAAATCGACACTGCACGGGAACTTTGGCAAGCTTTATAGAAAGTTCAGCAGTAGCATTGGTATTAAGCTTTCTATATCAACGTTTCTAGTTGATCGTTTGAAAAGATCGAAGCAAACATGAGTTTAGAATGAGAGACTATACTAGAAAAAACTTCAAGAAAATAGGTAGAAGAAAAGAAGAAAAGCTTACAAATGGCCACAATTTCCGTTTGGTGACTCCACGCTGAATGACAGGTCTTTTCGTTGCTTGAAGTTATCAAGTCAATAGGACATCTCTCTCACAATCAGATAAAGAGAATCACAAAGATGGAAAAGTTATCAAATTGTGAAAGGGGAGATCCTAAAAATGAAGGAAGTTTTCATGAAAACACGTTTTTGTCCACTCAAATTTGACCGTGAACAACAGAAAAAAGAAAAGAAAAGAAAAGGTTCTCACTTCCACCGAAAATCAGTGCTTTGATGTGCCAAGTCACCGAGAAATGACCATAGGATGAAGAATGACAAAAAGGAAAAGAAAAAGGCGAGAAAGTTAAAGAGTAAATATTAGTGAAAGGAGAAGTTCGATTTTGATCTGGTGGGTGAAATGGGAAGTTCAATGGCAAAAGGAAGTATTTTGATTTCTAAAAAGTTATCTACACCTTTCTATTACTGTACAAAAATCCTTTCATCAAAGTTCATCAAACTTTAAACCAGCTAGACTAAAAGATCCAAGTTAGCCAGAGAATTTTGCGCGGGAAAACCCTTCTCCAAAAAATGTGAGCGGCTTGTCACTGAAAGGATTGGAAAAAGAACTGTATGAGGGGAAAAAAAGAAGAGAAAAACTCTTGAGCAGATCCACCACAAATGCGATAAAAGGGAAAAAATGGAGAAAATCTCACAAAACATTTCATTTCGAAAAATCCTTTTGCTCTAAAGGAAATCAATTTTTGGGAAGTGCTTTTTGAGCGATCGGGAAACTAAAATAAACTTTAAATGACTGAATTCTATAAACTGAGATCTAAAATATTGATCAAAAGTTGAGTGAATTCTTTTGTTTTCGTGATTGTACAATATCTTGACCCGATCTTTATGATGGATGAAAAAAAAAGAACAAGGATGACCCCATTATTGTTTTCTTTTTTCTTTTTCCTTTGATTGGACTGGTTTTTGCCGAACACAATTCAATGCGCAAGTAACTTTCTTTCGGGAAAAGAGATGACCTATTGAGCAAAGATTTTGAGCAAAAATTGGGGTGATTGATGGGATGGATGACACAAACAAGCGATTGGGGAATGGGCAAGTGATTTGGGAAGACAAATGGATCATTTGGGGTTTTTCAAATACCAAAATGGTGGTGATCTAGAAATCGTGGTGATCTAGAAGTCGTGGTGATCTAGAAATTTAAAAGTAAAATCGCAGAAAGCGTTTCCTCAAAGAAGCAAGCACTTCACTCTTCACCGCAAAGAAAACTGGCTTTGAATCTTTTAAGTTTTAGAGGAGAGTGGACAGTGGATGAGAAAAAATGGACAAAGAATGGAATGGGAGAGCCTGGAGGCAATGCAATGGGTGATGGGCAAGGGGGGAGGAGAGCCGGTCAGCTGGTTGTGGAAGGGGAGTGAACCCCTCAAAGCCCTCTCCCTTCTTTTCTCTCATATCCACGTCGAACACGTGAACGGGATGAGACATAAGAATCTCGGGACTGAATGGAAAAAAAATGAGAGGTGAGGAGGGGTAATCAATGACCATTAGATGAATGATTGAGTAGGAGAGCAGACGTCTGAACAAGAGCCAAAATTAGTAGACGTTCTATAGTCGCTCTATGTAGTCTAGGTTTTCAAGGAGTCTAATTTTAAGGGCTAAGAACGATTGTGGTGCATCGTAAATCACTAGAAATTTTAAACCTCTAAAGTGCATTAATCTTTAAGCTTTAATAAAGCTTTAACTTTAACTACAGGCAAGCTTTAATCACATCAAAACAGAGGATCAGTCATTTTTGTGTGAATCGATGACCAAATATTGCTCCAATTTGTGGATGAGCACTAAGCGGAACTCTTTTTTTTCTCTTTCGCGTTGGGGAAACAATTTTCCGATCGCTTTTTATGCGCTCAAAAAACACGAAAATCCCGAGCTGAGACTCCCGGGATGGCTAGTAAGAATGTTGAGAAATGCAAGGGGATCCAACGCAATCTATAAAGATAATAAGTAAAATGGTACTATTTTTGGCTCTGGCTTACAGCAGGTCGGCAAGAACAAAGGGATTTACGGAAAGGGAGGTGATGTTGAGGGGTGACACTATGTGGTGACCCTTTCAGGGAATGGAGGACCGTGGGGTGTAAAGAATGGGATAAGAAGGCAAACAAATACACAAATACATAGAACTGATTTGAGGGGAAACGATCAGAGAACCTCAAGAGTTCACAGGGTGACAAGAAATCGACTGTGAGATGGCCTGGGGTGATCGTTGATCTGGTGCTTGATATATGTAAGGTCAAGGATAGGCTTTGAGGGGAAAAGAGGTTGGAACAGTTGATGGACAAAGAATTCCTTGAGTTTTAGGTTTATATAGCTTTAAGAAAGTTGTCACTTGTCAAATTTGTTAAATTCTTCATCAAACTCACCGAGATTGATCTTTTTCTCGAGCGCTGAATCAGTCAGAAACCAAGCCAGCGTTTTGTTGCCACGAGCAGATTGTGGAGCTGATTTTGGCTGTTGTCCTGATCTAAAAACGCGAAAAATAGATTGAAATCAAGTTATTGAAAATTGACTCTTGCAAAAGCAATGAATTGTGGATGAATGCCGAACTTTTCTCTATTGCCCCGCTTTCCATGAATATTGTTTATTTTCAAGGCAGCTGTCATATCCCATTTTTGGGATCGGCGAACTACGTAAAGCTACGGGAGGGCAAACTAATATTTGTGAAAAGATCGGCATTCTGATTTCGATTTGAAATCGGATTGTTATTGAGTGAGTAGAAAAAGCTTTATTGTGACCAGCGAAATGTTTGTATCATTTATGATCGCTGACAACTGTTTCAACATCAAAATGTTTACTGGCTGGTACAGAAACAATACGTGCACTTCAGCTGAACCTCTAGGGCTTAGGGCTTAGGCTGCTAAGATATAATAATTCTGCCAACCTCTAGGGTTGGCAGAATTATTATATCTTAGCAGTTTGAATCTTGCTACTTGGCCAATGATAATGCTACTTGTCCAATGATAAATCCAATCTCCAGTGATAAATTAAACCCAAACCTGAAGTGCATTTGTTGATGAATTTTCGATTTGTGATCAGCTGTTTCCGATGATGGAATTGTGACTCCCAATCCGGCCATCTCTCCCACTGTAACACTCCGATGCTTTTCGCGTGCCATTTTTTTCTAAAAGATGAGATAATATTTTTATTTAAAGATCCAACTCACTTTTGATGGACACCGTCTTTGCGGGAATTTTCGTTAATCAATCAGAAACGTAATCAGAAACGTTTGAAGGGATTAGAGCGAGTCGAAATACCTTAAATTAAATATAAAATTACTTGCAAAGAGAAATTTTTGAAAAGAGAAAAGAGAATCATTGGATTCAGCCCCAAACAATAACAATGTTAAACACAAAAAATCGAAAATTTCGATGAGAGAAACGGTCAACAAGTGATGAAAAGAAACATTAAAAAAGAGAGATGAGAAAATGGAACACTTTGAAGAAAAAAGGGAAATGAGAAAGATGAATATAATGAGAAATGAAAGACTTGCAAGTACTCAGGAAATAAAAAGAAAACAATGGAATCTTTGGGGGGAAATAGAAAATGTTGAACGAAAAACGATTACTTTTTGAAACACTCGCGTTTACTCGAAATGAAAACAAGGAAATCGTTGAGAGAATATAGTTTGGAATTCGTGAAAGATGAATATAAAATTAATATTGAAAAAGGTATCCAATATTAAATGAAACAAGTGGTAAATTTCAATCAAAGCTAGTCAAGCTCGAGTTTGACTGAACAATTGAACCGTGGACTTAACTGGATAAAGCTTTAAAATGTAAAATCATTCAAATCTACGGTTAGAAGAGCAAGTTTTATATATGAAACACACCAGGAAATGGGAAGTTGGGAAAAAACTATCCGTTTTGCGCTTTATTCAACAGTATTGGCTCACTTTTTGATCATAAACACGGAAATTTTTAAAAAAAGAAAATTGATGAAAAGTATTTGAGCACAATAACTGAAAAATCTGAAATATGAAATAGAAAATTGGCGAAACTTTTCTGTACACAACGCAGAGATCACGGAATGATGCGAGGGAATGATTAGAGAACGGAAAGATTCGAAATTTTTAGAAGATTTAAAAAAATTAAAACTAAACAGTTTGTAAACAACTTGAAACTCATGAAAAATGACGTTTTTTGAGTTTTTGAGGATTTTCCAATACGACTCATCGAGCGGGAAAACCCTTTTTCCGGAAAAAATTTCGATCGACAAAATCTGTCTTCACAATATATTTGAAACTGATAAGAAAGAAAATCTTTTTTTTTTTCCAATGAAAAAGGAAATTTTCGCCCGGAAAGTCATGGGGAATCAATGGGGAGTTTTTGTGAGAGAAAAGTCTATGGGAAAAGAATGGAATGGAAAGATTTTGAACTCCCGGAACTCATTATTCCCGGAACATGAAAAAATGACTGTTTTTTTGAAATGGGAAAATATTGTGGGATGAATGTGTGACGTTGATCAATAGTCAAAAAATGGTTGAGAGAAAATTGATGATTCATCGAAAGTTCGACAACAGAAAGAAAAAAAACAACTCGATTTTAAGCGACAAATATTGAGTTGAAAAAGAAATGGACACGTTCGGGTTTAGAAAGAAAAAGAGGGTTTATAAATGTTTTTATTTAGAAATGAAATTGTGAAAAGATCTGATAACTTTTTTTGTTTTGTTTCAAAAACTAAATGATTTTGCAACAAAATTCAATGAGATTATGAGAAATATGGGCACAAATTGCATAAGAAAATAAGTTAAAAACACAAAAAATTACCTGGAAATGAGAAAACAAAATTTTCAGTTAAAGATAGCATAAAACTTGAATGATTTTAAAAATTGGAAGAGTTTTACGGTAAAGATTTGTAATATTTAGATTTAGATAAAGTACTTGTACTGTAGATAAGTACTGTAATATTTAGATGTAGATAGAGGGGTGACTTTTTGCGATTGAAATAAGAGAAAGAACGCTTTAAGGGGAAAGGTTTAAGTCGAATCCCCCGACATGGGTCGAATTCATGCGCAAAGTGCAAACACCGCCCATTCCTTCCACCTCGAACCCAGCCCAGTCCCAGCCTCAATTCTCCCTTTTCAAACACTTTCCACTCTTGGACCGATCCGGCCAATACTACTAAAAAGGACATTTCCTTTTCACTTTCCTTTCCCCCATAAACTCACTCTTTTTTTTCTCTCATTTCACGAAATTCGACCCACAAATTTACGTTAATCTCTCTGGTATTACTGAAAAAGACAATAACAATTTTCAATGAACGAGCCTGGGAAAATGAGAAAACTAAATCAGTTCAAGGATTCGGAGAGAAAAGTTAAGGAACTGTTAGAAGGATTGGAATTGGAGGATTGGAATTGAAGGATTGGAGTTGAAAGACTGTTAGAAGGATTGTTTAAAGGATTGGAAGGGCTGGAAGGGCTGGAAGGGCTGATGGAGCCTTCAAAACAAATTTATTAGCCAAGTTAGTCTAAACGTTAGAAAATTTTACGGTCAAAACGTGAAAATCGGGGTTATTCTAAGGAAATATTTTGATAAAAGTTTTGAAAAGGTGTGGGCAGGGCAGCAAAACGATCAAAAGAGCGAAGAAGTGGGTGAGTCAGGGTGGAAAGAAAAAGATAAAAAGGAAATTGAAAAGAAAAGAAAAGGAGAAGAAGAAGAAGAAGAAGAACATATAAACATTTCGAAATAATGAAAAGATCAGAGATGGAGGGGAAGGGGAGAAGTTGGGGCGGGGGCAGCGGTGGGAGTGCATGTGACAGACTCTCCTCGGGTCCTCGGGTTATCAGTGTGACACACACCTTCTCTATATTTACTCAAATAATGCTACGAACTTTGCAAAACGTTTTCCGGAAATCTTTTATCTAAAAACTTTGTAAGAAAGAGAAAGAGCTTTATCATCGAAGCAGAATTTCACGAAATTCCAGGGACCATATATTGCTCTTTTTCAGTTATTAGTTAGTTTTTATTTATTAAAATTGCGCTTAATGCCTATCTGACTCATTTCTAAAGCATAACACTCAGCCATAACAACTAGAAGAAGACTAGAAAGGGGTGAACAAATGATGACAAAACATTTCGAAAAGAAAAGAAATTTCAGGGATTTACTAGTAAATTTTAATAAACACTTTCTAAATATCGAAATAAACTGTCAATTTCTCACTTTATTGACGAGATTGAAATGAATTTCCTTCCGATAACACTGAAACGAAAAGATATCTCCTGTTTTACTGCTCTGACTGGTTTGTTGGCTGCTCTGTTTGGGGTAAAAGTTGTCCATTTTTCTATCAATTTTTCACAAAATTTTTAATGCTCACTTGAAAAATTGCACCTAATTATGGATGGAGGGGCTGGGGAGCAAAGAATCAAATCACATGTTGTTGATGGGGAAAAGAAGGCAAAGAGCTACGCAACAACAGTTGGAGAAAGAAAAGAAAGAAGAAAAGGAAGAAGACAAGGAAGAAGACAAGGAAGAAGAAAAGAAAGAAGACAAGGAAGAAGAAAAGAAAGAAAGGTGAAAGAAGAGCATCAATCCAAAGAAATGGATTGATGCTTACACTTTTGACTTTTTGTGGGAAATGAGATGTATTGTCTGGATGGAGGGTCAAAATGGGACACGGATAGACTCGTTTTTGTCGCATTTTTTTGATAAAGAACACTTGGATCCAGACAAACGATTTGATGGAGATCAATGACTGAAATGGATTAAGGAATGGAAGTAAAATCGTGGTGTAGTAGGCCAAAATACCCAGAGTATAGCTTTTAAAGAGAAATATCAAAACGTGGCTTGACCCAACTCTTTACTTCAATTCGTCCCGGTACACAGATCGAATCAAAAGCTTTCAAAAGAATATAAGCCAATAAAAAACAACATGTGAAAGAGTTGTTTACGCGTTCTCTGATCACAAAGACTACATGACTTTTGCAAGCCATCACCCTTGACAAATAAGCCAAAAAAAAACCTGTTTACAACGAGGTTTAAAAGAACTGATTTCTACGAGTGTATGGGGGAAAAATGAAAAGAGACTATAGGGGTCACGTGTTTACGTGTTTATTTGAAGTCTAGAGCGGTTTCTGGTGTTCACAAAGGGAAAAGGGGGTCTCAAAAGGCCAAGCCTCGGCCTGGGTCTGAGACTCCCCTCTATGGGCTTCTTTTCGAACGGCAAAAACATTCACCCAGTCACAACGAGTTCCCCTCCACACTTGAAAGATCATCCAAACAAGGATAACAACTTTTTTTGCACGCTGAACTTTTTGCTACCTGTAGTTCTTGTTTACTTTCATCACTTATCCATTTCGTTTCCCTGGAACATTTCCAAGTACTGCTTAATATTGAGCAAAATATTGAGCAAAATGGCTCAATATTGAGCAAAATATTGAGCAAAACGGGTCAATATTGTATTTTTTCGATATTTGACTTGCGAAAGACTTATGGAAAGAGTTTTTGGAGTGATAAACGGCGTGATTCATGTGAGGCGATCGTGTGACTGGCTGAACGACATTTTAGAGCAAAATTACGTTTGATCGGCCGCTTGCTTTTGACGCTCATTTTTAATAGATTTGTGCTCGTTTTTTGCGATTTGCGGATGAACATTTTGCGTCACAGAAAAATGGGGAATTGTAAAAAAGAATTGTGTAGAGAATAAATTGTAGGAGGAACTAACCAGGGGAAAGCTTTTTAACGTGTTGAAAAGGAAAAGAGAGATTATAAAGGGGAAGTTTCAGAAAGAAATGCAAAAACAAGGGATAAGTTGGAAAGATTTGGAATCAAAAACTGAGTCATGGTTAATTGAAGAATTCTGGACTTTGTAAGAGATCTTTTGAATAGTTTTGAATACTAAAATAAATCTTATCGGTTAATCTGATACAAATTTGAATACTCAAGCAGGTTACGCCTCTTTCCCAGTCATTTTTTTTGTGATCACCTCGGGTAATGCCTGCGCGGTGACAGGTGGCTCCTGTGGCTCTTGTTTCTTTCTTTCTTTCTTTCTTTCTTTCTTTCTTCTACTCCACTTATTGCACTCATGCATTCAGCCTTTGGATAGGAAAAGTGCGGGAAAGTGTGGACTCATGGATTGGAAAGGTGCCAATCTGACCCCAAATGGAAGAGAAAGGGGAA